ATTCTTAATGCTACTTGATTTTATAAGAATATAACTTAAACTAATAACAGATAAAATATTTATTTTATATTTATATCATAAAATACTTTACTTACCTATGTAAAACGAATACCTACATATTATGAAGAAATCGGAAAGTTTATATCTTCCATATAATATGTTACCTACCAATAAGTAGATAGAACCGTATAAACTATATATACATAAGAATAATCATTAAGATCTTTAATTAAAGTCATTTTAATATTTAAAGTAATAAATACTCACTTTTCCAATTCGAACAGTGGGGCATTTTTGTAGAAAATATATATGATTAGATAGATATTTTATATGCTTGAAGTTATTAAATTAAAACGATCCCGTTCAAAAGCTAAATTTATAATATTGTCTTCACGAAATTAAACTATAGTTATAGTAAACTAATAAATAGGTAATTAGCTCACATAGCACAAAAGCACAATAAAACTTTTTACATTCAAAATAAACGCTCCCAGCTCCCGCCAAATGGACTAAGCATCAATTTTAACACCACAGATTATAAAAACTTGCAACCATATTTTATTATCAGTGAAGATATTACTATGTGCGCTAGTTCGCAAATAAATAGGGATTAGGCTGAATAGTATTGTGCCCGTGTCATTGTCACCCGCATTTTGTGTGAAAATAGTTTTAGGGTTTCACACCTTCGAACAAAATATTATCTTTGCCTTAACTTTTAAATATAAATATTTTTTGATTGAATTTATAAAAACTTAAAGTTAAATATTCATACATATAGTTTTCTGTATGTGTTTTCTTAAATTATATCTTTAATCAAAAAATAATTTAGAAAAACAAAGAATTTATTATGTTAACAAAATCAAATTATTTTTGGAAGGAAAATTTACAATTTATATCTATTTAAATTGAAATCAAACTCTGATAATTTACTTAATCAGAACTTTCTAAAGATATAAATAGAAGCTTCCAATGAAAATATAGATATTATATTCTACGGAACCACTCTACATGTAAACGGCTCTATTATTTTCTGCATTATGTCTTTTCAAATAAGGATTAGTTTGAAACAGCGCGATGATGGCTGTGGACAAATATTTGTAGGACACTCGGAGACGCATCATAATCGGACCAGTCCATGATCTCTCCTATTATACCGTATAATATCAAAGTATAGTTCAGTTTAGTTCCCCTGTTTATTTACTTAATGTATTTTTATTCGCTCTATCGGATTAACATCAAAATTGATCGAATTGTTGTTGTAAATAGGCAGATGGTAGTATTTTACAAATGTAATATAGCATTAAAAAAGATTACCTACCAATAATGAATTTTAAAAATTAATGAACTTTAAGCTAACCCAATTTTGACTTTACCTCTCTCGTGTATAATGTATACATACCTACTATGATGATGTTCTCCTGGCCGATTCCGGCCACGGCGGCCAATCTCATTGAGACTAACCAACTGCGCAGGAGATATTATTGTGCACATGTGTACGCGCAGACACAGATGCACTCTCTATTTCTGTCACTCTCATACTCCGGTGGGACGACTGTTCGACACGACCAGTGAGAGTTAAGGCGCAGGACCGACGGCTTTACGTGCTCTCCGAGACACGGGGGTGAAACACCGCCAACTTCCCTACTCCAGGCTGTTACTGAGACTTAATATACAGAAAGACTCAATAACTAAACTTGGCCCGACCCGGGACTCGAACACAGGACCTCCGAGTGTGCAGCCGTACATGCTAGCTACTACTCCACCGAGGCAGTTAAATACCTACTATAATATGCAGGTTAATATAAGTACATAAATATTTATTTAAATCCATTTAGTTTAATTCAAAATTTAAAATCAATAATTTACTAGTAATTTATTTGTAAACGTAACTAAATACAATCAGAACACCACACCTATCAAATATTAATTTTTATCTAACACATAAGACAGGTGGGCATTTTAAACGCTTGTCCAAATCTGACTCACTCTCATAACTATCTTATCATTAGACGACTAATCCTTTGGTAAAGCTGAATACACATAATAGTGTATAATCCTTACTATTCAAATGAAAACGCCATTGTTAAAACCAGAAGCTACGATTTAATGACTATTTTGCCTTTACAATAACTAAACCCATCCATTTTGAATTTTGTCTTTAAACACACGGAGATTGACATATTGATAATTTTTAAATATTTTTTGGTGTAAAGAAATTTTCTGGGAAAGTTTCTTTGTTGAAAACTGGGTTAGTCCTTATAATATGCAGCCTTAGCCATATCCGGGATCCATTACTTGCGTGTCTTTCACAATTGAAGATTAAAAAAATATCGGCACAACAATTCTTTGTTAAAATCCGGAAGGGCTTTACATATTAAAATATAAGCCCTTTTTATTTAAAACGCTCTATCTTGCACAATATCTCACTGTGGTTTTAATTCTTTGTAAAATTATTTTCTCACGAAATTTAACTTAAAAAGAAATTAGCCTTAATGACTGAAATAGGAATGCAGTAAGCTGTCTTACGTATTTAAATGTATGTAAGTATTTAAAAAATAATATTAATGTGAAACTATTAAAAGAAGGCTATATATATATATATATATATATATATATATATATATATATATATATATATATATATATATATATATAATTACTTTAAAAAACTCATAAATATCATTCTTAGAAATATGTATACCAGTTTCAAATGTAAAAATACGGACCTAGTTGACTTATAATTTCCACTGTATATAATATTAGTTTAAAAGCTGTACTCAAGGCATACCTATGTATAATAATAACAATGTAGAGCGGCATCTATATTCTAATCGCATACTTCTTCTGTCTAGTCACTAGTTACACAAAGTAATTACACCTTTGAAAGATGAGTTAGGTTAATAAACTCCAAATAAGTTTTTTTATCTATACTAATAAATGGAGAGCGGATTTTTTCTTTGGTTATACTGCGATAACTAATAAACCGTGTTTCGGAGAAGGTTTTAGTATATGATATGTTGATGATTAATGTACTATGCGGACGGAGCCGCAGGAAAACGCTAGTATATAGATAAGATGCTCGCACTGGTGTCCCGTAATTTTATTATTGGTAAATAGATGAGTAGACACATTTACAATCTTTCATAAAAAAGTAAGTACTTATATCTTAAGCATTGTTACTTTCACATTATCGAAATTAAAGGTAGTAGGCCTATAACAACGTTTAGTTGGGATATTTCCACATAAGTACTAATAATAATTCGCGTCATACATTAATTGTTTGCAAATTAAAAAAAAAAGACTCTACGTTAATTCTTTTTCTTTATATTAATTTATAATAATTATGACCAATATAACATCCGTGTAGTTATAAGTATTCATTTTATTTTGAATATAGATAAACATTGCAAAGATAATTTCACCTCAGCTCAGCTCATCTCACTAATCGCATACGGCTCTAGTTACACAGGTGGCTGTAATTACGCCTTTGAGAGCCGAGCCGGGTGTGTCTAAACAGCGTTTCGCCCGAATTTGCGCTAATTTTAGACTGAGGTGTAATAATATCGGGATCCTGTTAGTAAACCTAACAAACTATTACCAAAATGTTAGTCTGATGAAATAGTTGAACTATATAGGTACGTCTAATTTAACTATTTTACTTAGGTTTGAATTCAATGTGAAGTATCTTTTAAAAACGCAGTTAATGAGTTAACGTAATTATATTTCTGTGCTTAACCAATTTATTTAAATTAAAAAAGCAAATTTTGCGTTAAAAAGAACTAACATCTCTAATATAATTATTATTAAAAGAATAATACCTATATCAAAAATTATAGGTACATATACCTACTCGTAGCAAGATATATTATGTACCTACCTACCTATTTGAAATAATATAGGTGATATAGGAGTCTATATTTGGTTCATACTATTTAATTATCCTTTTACGGTTACGTTACGTTATATACGTTTAAATTAAACAATATTAACTAACATTTTGTATTTAAATACCAGTTATGATTTTTTTGGGAAGAAAAACGTGCTCAGATAGTTCAAACATGCAGAAAGACATTTAAACAAAAATACACCTACAATATAGAAGGGTGAGTGAAGGACTTTTGAAAATCAAGTACTTATATAAAGAAGTCTAAGAACCGACCGATGAGCGTGTACGAAGAAAATAATGATATTGGAAGAGGGAAAGAAGTATGTATAACCTAAACATCATACTGTTGCCTCTGGCTGCTTTCAGGGAAGGGATTCGGGAGTCAAACATGAGGAGCATAATATATTTTAAAACTAAATTTCTTTGTACGACCTGTGTCCTAGGTCTTTAAATATTTTTATCCTTACGATATAACACTTATAACAACGATTTGATGTTTTTATTGAAAACATATTGTTCTTTATAAATATGTGGTAGGTATATTAAAACAAATAATTTTTAGACACAATTTGCTATCAATGAAATGAAAATTGTTGATGAAAATTGCTGTCTGTCCGTGGAAAATATTCGAGGAAAACTATTTTTGGGGATTTTTATTAACGCAATAGAAAACAATGATTTTTAGAGTTTTTGTCTGTTTGTCTGTGCCTTTATGCGTATAATATTATTTTTCTTAGATGTATATAGTAGCGCCATCAAATGTGGGAAACACAAACTACAACAGATATTACTTGTTGATGCAAACAGAATATTATGGTTACTTGATAAATACGACGCTTGCACATCGCAACAACTAACTTATTTAATTTTATATTCTAAAAATAATACTGTTCTATAACAGTAAAAAATAAATACGCTATATATATTACACTATTTCTTTTAAACTTTATACAGATTAATAAATTAACTTTGGCTGTCGTGTGTTGTCAATACTCAACATTGACTTTGACAATTTGATAGTTGACACAAGTCACAACTGACAACAACATAACAGCAAATTCTATTATTTACAAAAGGCCGAAAGTATTAGTGAAAATAACAATATTTATTCAAAATGATTGGAGTTCGCTTGAACACATTTAATGATAATTCTGGGGAACCCGAACAGGATGCTAATTCGGCATTAACTGAATTAGATAAAGGTAAAACTAACCTCAATTACTGTCTAATATAAAATCATTTATACAAAGCTAAATAATGAAAATTTATGTTTTAAGGGCTGAGGTCAGGAAAAGTTGGCGAGCAATGCGAAGCTATAGTTCGATTTCCACGTCTTTTTGAAAAATATCCTTTTCCCATACTAATCAATTCTTCATTTTTGAAATTGGCTGACGTCTTTCGTATGGGTAATAACTTCTTGCGGTTATGGGTTTTGAGAGTTTGTCAGCAGAGCGAAAAGCATTTGGATAAGATTTTAAACGTTGATGAATTTTTAAGAAGAGTTTACAGTGTTTTACATTCTAATGATCCCGTAGCAAGAGCCCTTGCTCTACGAACCCTTGGAGCTGTAGCTGGAATAATTCCAGAGAGGCAAAACGTACATCACGCTATAAGAAGGGGCCTAGAAAGCCATGATAATGTTGAGGTTGATGCTGCTATCTATGCAACAACAAGATTTGCAGCTCATTCAAAGTAAGTTACCTTTGTGATATTATTTCCTTATATAAATGATGTATAACATATATGAAAAAATATTTACAATATATAATATTATGCATGTTCTAATTTTATGTTGGTTTCAATTAATATTGTTTATTTTTTTCTTCAGTTCATTTGCAGTAGCTATGTGTAACAAACTTTCTGATATGGTTGAGTGTGAGAGTACAGGTGCTGAAAGACGGGCAAAACTTGTAAGAGCTTTAAGAACTGTTCATGGTGGAGGTAAGTTTAATAATTCATTTAAACCTATATCACTATAATAATAACATCATCAATTGTAAATGTCTGTCTGTCTGTTTTGACAGACAATTACAATTGATTATTATTTGATTATTTATTTAAAATTTTATAATATGTTTGTTTTAGCTGTCAGAGCACAAGGTGTGCTTAAATTACTAAGATCCTTATTAGAAAGATTTCCCTCTTCAAGTTCCGTTAGAGCTGCTATAACGGCACTCACCGCCATAGCTGCCGATACTGTTGTACATGTTCCTGATCAGGTATTAAGCATTACATTAAAATATTTATGTTTATATTTAATACTTTTAAAGTTATTTAAAAATACAATGTTTAATAAAATTATCAATGGTCAGCTCTATTAATAAACAAATTTTTAGTGGACCACAGACCACTGTTTGTTTGGTTTTTTTAATTTATGTCAGTTTTCAATAATAGAATAGATTTTTTTATGACCAACATTTCTAATTATGTATAAGATACTTCCAAAAATCTTTCTGAAATTATCTCTTAAGTCTCATGTCTCTCAATGAAATAAAATAAAACTTTATCCAATTGGACTTATTACAAGCACTTTTGTAGTGTCAATATCTCATGGAAAAAGATTATTACTTACCTCTCTGGTGCATAAATTTGATTCCTGTATGGTAATCATGTATTTGATCAAACCACTGAGTATTCATTCCATGTTAAAATTCATAATACTATATTAGTCAGTTTTAATTCAGCTTAACACAAAAAATCCACTTTATAAATCATCGCAATACTAAAAAAAAAAATATTTTGAAATATTATTGTTGGCTTAATTATTTTAATTATTTATTACTTTGTTTTCAGGTGGAACTTCTCTTAAGTCTAGCAATGAATGATCCAAGGTCAGCCGTCCGTCGTGCAGCACTACTAGGGTTGAAGAAGTTAGCAGAACATGCTGCACTATGGCCCGCTGAATGCATACAGAACTTAGTGCATGCAGCTTCTGACACTCAAGATAGTGAACACACCATGCTTTGCTTACAAGTTATGCAGGTGAGTGTATATGTATAATGTACATGTATGCTAGATCTTTAATGCAAAATAATAAATATTTTTTTAATGGTGAAGTGCAATTTTTTCCATAATTTATAAATAAGATTGTGTAGAAATACAAATAAATAAATATTTATTTTCTTTATAATTTACAATTTTATTTGTCACACAATTCTCTTTCGATTTTTTTAACTTTCTTTTAATATGTGATGCTTTTTTTCTTTATTAATAAACCCTTTTTGTTAATACTGGGAAATGCATTTACGCATACCACCTGTAGACATACAGATGGTTATGTGGATCTCACCGACTAGAGAAGTCAGTAATACTCACTAAAACCAAACCTCAAAAAACAAAACCTCCCCCGTCTTAATGTGGCGTCGCAGGATCTTTTACCAATGTTACCAAATTTACGCTATGACCTGCGACCATAGTAGTGGTCGCCGCGACCATAGTAGGGACGCAATCGCCTGTACAAATGAATTCAAAATAAATAAATCAAATAATATTTGACCACCTCCCGCCAGATCCTGGTGCGTTGCCCGGCGATATGCGCGGCGGCGACGGCGCTGCGCCAATACTGCGGCGAGGCGGCGCAGGGCGCGGCGCTGCGCCCCGCCGCCGTCGCCGCCGACGTGCTCACGCGCATCGTCGTGCACTGGTCGGTGTCTGTCGGTAGTGACACTACATAATCAATGAAAAAAATGTTTTTTGTAACTTTTACGTGCGATTTAAGTATAAATTCTTTGGCGCTGTGGCAGATAACGTAATTGAATTAAAACAAATCAAAGTATAAATATAATAATTTTTATATGTAATCAAATATATAAAATTCTCGTGTCACAGTGTTTGTAATAACACTCCTCCGAAACGACTTGACCGATTCTTATGAAATTTTGTGTGTGTATTAGGTCTGAGAAGGAGGACGTAAACTATTTTTCATACCTCCAAGTGCCTCCACCCCAAAGTATTTTTTTTTTATGATTCAGCATTAAAAAATACATACAAACCTAAATTTTTCAGTTTTCTTTAGTTATAAAATTATTAATAATAAAAATATATTTTTAAGAACAATAATTATTATGAAAATATAATTATAATTATTTATTTTTTTAATTATATATTATAATAAATTTTACTCTCACTTCCGCTATACTCATTTTTCCAATGTATTGGAAAAATTAGTGTCGCCTAAAGAAGTTTTACTTCAATATACTTTATTCAAATGGATTTTTACAAGAACTTTTGAATCATCACTTTTTCATTATTAAAATTTAAATTAAACGTCAGCTGGTAAGTCCGTGAGAAATCCACTACCGGCTCGGAAGGCAGTTCTGGCATTTATTCTACTGCATACTATAAAATAAAATCCGCCCCGCCGCGTCTTGTTTGTTTGAAGGCGGTAAACTCAAATACCACCGAACGGGTTTTCGACGGTTTTCACCATTGGACAGTGCGATTCATCAGGAAGATCTGAGTTTATAATTGATCAAATGTATGCTATTAATTACTAACCCATACGAGCCTCCAACGAAAGCGTCTAGACAGGTTGTATGTGGTGTGCTCCTGCCTGGAGACGTGGAGGAAATGCTCCCAACTTACTTTTATATGACAGTCAGGTAACAGCTATAGGGTTCACGGGTTTTTTGAAGTTACAACTTACAGTTAAATATAATTTATTTATATTACCTACGGCATTTTTTTTATTTCTAGCTATGAAGAAAACTTACCCGTAGAAGGAGCAGATCTGATGTTAGCGCTAGAATCTCTCGTCATCGCGACCGGCGTTAATAATGGCCAAAATAATATAAAGCCACTACGAATGGCTTTACGATGCTTGGTAAGCTTATAATTTATTATTTTATCCCTGATATCTACTGTATTTATTTGAAGAAAAAGAAATATTGCGCATAAATAATAATAATGTCCTTCTGACCGATTCCGGTCACGGCGGCCAATCTCACTGAGAGTAGCCGTCTGGAGATATTATAGTGCACAAGTGTTACACCCAACTCTGGGCTGTTACTGAGGCTTACTATACATAAAGACTCAATAATATAAACTCGGCCCTACCCGGGAGCTCCGGGTGTGGCGTACAGTAGCCGTACATGCTAGCGTGTGGTGGCGCAGGTGCAGCTGAGCACGGCGGCGCCGGCGCTGTACGCGCGGCGCGCGGCGGCGGCGCTGGGCGCGGCGCCGGGCGCGGGCGGCGGCGGCGGCGCGCGCGCGCGGGCGCTGCTGGAGGCGCTGGCGGCGCTGGGCGCGCTGGGGGCGCCGGCGCTGCCCGCGCTGCTGCCGGCGCTGCACCACGCCAAGTGAGAACGCCGCTCACTTACTTAGACACATGCTGAGTTTGTTGTTTTTTGAAGGAAATTTAAAGAAGAACATTTTTTTGATTTTTTTAAGAAAGCATTTATTGAAGTTATACTTCTATTGAGACGTTTGGCAAAAATTATGAGAGTAATATTTTTACAATGTGCTTGCACACCGACAGCCAAAAAGCGATATGATGAAGTTAGCTGCATTCCTTTCACAAACAGAGTGTTGTGACATACGGGATGAAATATTTAGCTATTTTTGTTCTGTTACGCCAACAAAGTATAACTTCTTACGTGCGTACATAAGTACATACACACATTTTTTTTTTTCGTAATGAAGCAACAATCATATTACTATTATAAATGTATATTACGCTGACTGTGCGAGATAGACTATGACTAAGATACGGTACTAAAATATAACGCTACCTATGTATATATAATACAACGACTTATCCTCAATTCGTTTGGGTGCATCAGTAGGTGCCTTTTAGTAGTATTTTAAAATGAAGAAATTACAAACAAACACAACAAACACACGAACAAACTTTCATATTTATACCAATAGCCCAATCCTCAAATAAAGTGCTTGAAAATCCCATTTTAATATAACTACCTGTTTCCAGAGAAGCCTGCAAAGACCCGTCCTACGACGGCACGACTCTAGTGCTGATATGCACAGTGCTGCTGCAGGAGAGGGCGGCCGCCGCTCTCACGCACAAAATAAATAAGAACTGGGAAATTAAGATTAAAGATGCCATTCAAGGAGCAGACGGGTGGACTAGATACAGAGTTGCTAGAGCCGCTTTAAGGTAAAAAAATATTTTTGATTCTTATATTTTTTTAATATTTTTTTTTTGTTTTCTTTTTGGTCACTAAGTGTATTTTGCGACTTGATACAAGAACATTGACTTTTTTTATACATTATTCGTCTTTTGTAAAACGACTAACGTCATTTGAACGCAAATTTTATTACTTGTGTTAACCTAGGTCATACTTACACTCCCCCCCCCCCCAACGTGCGTTCACCTTGTCGTGGTGGGGGGGGCTCAGTAGTGTCCGGCAATCCAACCGGGCGCGAACCCAAGAAACGCACAGGGAGGTTGCCCACTTCGGTGGGCGGTGGGAGGTGGCCCTCTTCGGGGGGCGGTGTACCATGCGGGTTGCTCCTGGTACTTCTCTGATAGCAGAGTGGACTGAGGAGCAACCCCGTGGTTGTTGTGGTCTGCTTCGGCAGACCTGCCGTCGGGGCGTCGTAGTTGAATGCGTAAGCGATCCTGCGACGCCCCATTAAGACGGGGGATGGTTTTGTTGGGTTTTAGTAGGTAGTACTGGCTTCGCCGGTGAGTCCCACACTTCGTGCGTAAATGCATTTCCCAACGTTAAAAAAAAAAGGTCATAATTACACTCACACACGCAAATTTTTATTTTTAATATTTTATATTATTACTCATGACTCAGCCACGGTACTTGATCCAAATCCATTCCGCTGTTTCATGTAGGAGTAACAAACAAACTTATCCATATACATTCGTTCAAATTTTCTCATTTATAATAGTAATTCAAATATAAATATTTATTAATATTGCATACAGATACGGGCATCACAACTTAGCGGCAGACATCCTGAAGCGGCTGTCGGAGGCGGCGCCCAGCGAGTCGGCGCAGCGCTGGCTCACGGCGCTGTACGTGGCGGCCTCCGCCGACGCCAAGCTGTTGGAGGAAGGTACAGTATCGTTTTAAATTTAAAAAATGAAAAGAAAAAAGGTCTTTTTCGTCACGAAATTATGATAATTTAAATTATTCCATAGTGACGTCATTGATGCTATGTCGTGCGCTAATAACGTTTCGACGGTCTATTTAAATTATACTCTGTTACTGTTAATTTTCGGAGAAATACTTACTAAAGGTGGTAATATTTGAGGTGGTTCCGAGAATCCTATTAATTAGCCTATTATTCTACATATGGCGTTATACGTGTTTCAATGTTGAAGTGTCGGTGAAGGTATATTTAGCAACCGAGTGTATAGCGCCCGTGTGTCGCGCGTGTCGCAGGTATCTCTGCGCTGGAGGAGGCGAGCGCGATGTGGCAGGCGTTCGGCGACGGCGGCATCGCGCCGCTGGGCGGCTGCGCGGCGGGCTGCGGCGGCTGCGGCGCCTGCGCCGCGCTGCCGCCCGCGTGGGCCGCGGCGCGCGCGCGCGCGCTGGCCGGCCTGGCGCGCGCCGCCGCCGCCGCGCGCGCGCTCTGCACGCAGCCGCCGCCCGCCATCGCGCTCGCGCACGCACAGGTACGAGGCCCGCTGGGGGCATTCATTTGTGTGATAAGCACGAATGCTAGAACTCCAGTCGAGGGTGTTTATATTTATAATATGTATGTATTTAAAGTTATATATGTGTAATGTATCAACTATCTGATGTCCATAACACGAGCCTCGTAGCTTACCATGGAACTGGAGGGTGCTGTGTGTTAATATTCCAACTAAAATAATGTACACCGTCCCGCAGGCGGCGCGCGACCCGGCGGCCAAGGCGGGCGCGTGCGCGGGCGCGCTGCGGCGGGCGGCGCGCGCGCTGGCGGGCGCGGCGCAGCAGTACGCGGCGCTGGCGCGCACCGCCTTCCACGCGGACGACTCCACGCTCCGGCACCTTTATATGTATCCTTTCTAGTTATGTCGCCCTGGTACTTGTTGGACGCACGTGTGTTCTTTGGTTTATGCTAACCTAGTACTTTTTAAATAAAACACGTATCGATATAAAAAATGTCAAATATTCACGTAAATCTAAGAAAATGTTATGTGAACCTGATACTTATAGGACGTACGTGTATCATTTGGTTCATACTCACCTGATACTTGCTCGTTAAAACCACTGAATTTGCACCACGCTACAACTATTTTGACACCTTACAATAGTGATGTGACTGATATATTCAAATACGTGTCATCAGTAAAAGTACGAGTCGCACATATAAGTTTAGGTATATTTTAAGTAGTAACTATTTGTTATAATAATATTGAAGGTATTATTAGAACACAGAATAAAATCGCTGCCTTTTATGGAGTGTTGTTATTACCTTAGGCTACCAAACCCTCCCCCCCAACGTGCGTTCACCTTGTCGTGGTGGGGGGGGCTCAGTAGTGCCCGGCAACCCAACCGGGCGCGAAGCCAAGAAACGCACAGGGAGGTGGCCCACTTCGGTGGGCGGTGGGAGGTGGCCCTCTTCGGAGGGCAGTGTACCATGCGGGTTGCTCCTAGTACTTCTCTGATAGCAGAGTGGACTGTGGAGCAACCCCGTGGTTGTTGTGGTCTGCTTCGGCAGACCTGCCGTCGGGGCGTCGTAGTTGAATGCGTAAGCGATCCTGCGACGCCCCATTAAGACGGGGGAAGGTTTTGTTGGGTTTTAGTGGGTAGTACTGGCTTTGCTGGTGAGTCCCACACTTCGTGCGTAAATGCATTTCCCAACGTTAAAAAAAAAAAAAAAAAAAAAAAAAAAAAAAAAAAAAAAAAAAAGGCTACCAAACCCTATAAAAACCCTATACCATGTATTCCTTAAACACAAAACAGTTCGCAACACACATACGAGCAAATGGCACAGTTCCTCGATCGAATTACATCAAGTCAGCAAGAGCGGCCCGATTTAGTCACTAAAGAGATAAAAGCGACGAGTCTAGAGGAGACAATAATGCTAGCCCCGTCCGTGGCTCTCGCCAACATATCCGCCAAACTGTTCGACAATCCGACGACCAGTCCTGGGATTACGCATAGGGTGAGTACTGTTAATTCGCATATTAAATAAAACTTTGTTTTAGGATTTTTTCGCGGTTTCCTTTTTGTTTTTTGGTTCCTGATATTTTGGAGATCAAAAATTAGAATGAACTCGTGGAAAAATCCGAAAAGATAGTTTTATTAAAAGCTCGCTTCCCCCTACAAACTTTCATCCCCATTCTCACCCCCCATTAAGGGATGATTTCCGAGATAAAAACTATTTCACTCACTTTTCATATCATGAGATTCAAAAAAATCTTATTTTAGGTCTTTTTTATTTTCTTATATACAACGCTTGTCTTGAAAAACACAACAAAAAAGATTTTTTTTTTATATGGATGTCAAATATTCTCTTAAATCTAAGAAAGTATTAATTCGCTTAAGTTTATAATCATGTTTAATATTTAAAATTTAACTTCAATATAATTAGTTTATTGAGCTTAAATTTTGGCAAAGCGAAATCTGTACATGAAATATTTTTTAAAAACAATGATGTGCACGTTACGTATTATGTGCACAATATAGACCCCAAAACAATTATAGTTATTGGATTTTTTGTCTGTATGTCTGTTTTTTTTTTGGAACAAGTAGAAGTCGTTACATAACGGAAAAGGTTATGATTTTTATTATTTACTAAGAGCATCCCATGTGACGTCAGTGTTAAGGAGGTCGTATGCACTCTTTAACGGGATCCTACATATATAATGAGCACTTCTTGAGGGCATCGCGGTCCCTAGTATTTGTGACAAAAGTACCAGGCGATCATAAGTGTTGAGGAGTGTATCTTGTAAGAGATTCGTGTGCACTCTGAGCAGGCTTTTCTTCGATGAGCTTCAACATGTACAGTAACCGGCGGTAAATAATGCACATCGAGTTAAAGAGGGAGAAAATAGGCTAATCTCTGTTTTGTAGAGCGTCGTCTCAGTTACTCAGTACATTATGTTAAGTTTCCAGTAGACACCGTGCGACAGAGACGACGCTCTATGAAGCCCGAACTAGCCGATTCTCTCCCTCTTCAGCTCCACGTGCAGTACGTTGCTCGATGTGTATGCTGCCCTGGTACTCGTGACAATGTGTATGACCTAATATTTTTTTATCCCCGACGCAAAAACGACGGGGGTGTTATAAGTTTGACGTATGTGTGTGTGTGTGTGTGTGTGTGTGACAAAAAAAAACCCCGACCGGTTTTTTTTTTTTTTTTAATTTATATAACAATATTATTTTTCTTCTTTAGTAGCTTAGAGTTAACAGACTCAATACATTCTGCCAGTGTACCTAACGATATTGATCGGTAATTTTGAAATTTAGCCAGGCCTGCCAGATCGTATAATTGGATACAAAAAGTGTATAATTTGGTTGTATTTTGTATCCAGTGTGTGTAACAGTTACCTTGTATAATTGGTTACAACAATTAAAAAAATCAAATGTGAGGTAAACTTTGTGAGAAAAAAATACTATTTTTTTAAAAATAATCTAACAATATTATAATTTATGAAATTTTATTTAAACAATATAAAAATTATTTATTTTAAAATCATAAATCGATTTACAAAAAACGTATATATAAATCGATTTAAGATATTTTTGAATCTGTTACGAGTATATTGTGATATCGCTTAACGTTTTTCGCGGGTGTTTAAATACTTTATAGATTATAGACTATACTCTATAGTATTATTTAGCAGCTATAACGTGGAATTAAAATTACTGTAATAAGCGAGTGAAAATGCGAAAATGCTAATCCATCGTCATACAGTTAAACTAGTATGGAGGGTAGTGTTTACCTAAACGTTGTTAGCTTGAGTTTTAAATACTTGTTTATAAAGTGTTGTTTATTATACAATAAGCTGTTGATATAATTATATATCCATACTAATATTATAAATTTGAAAGTGTGTTTGTTTGTTTGTCTGTTCTTTTTTTACGTCGAAACAGATTAGCGGATTTGTGTGATTTTTTGTAAGGAGATAGTTGGAAGGTTGGAGAATGGACATAGTCTACTTTTTACCGCGGGAGTTTATTTCATTTTCACGAGAAAACACGTTATAATAAAACTCAAAAAGTTATTTATGACCAAAATTACTCGAAAGTTATTATTAATGCTCTTCAATACAATTAAATAAATACATGTTTTAGCATTTTTTTGAAATTCATCCCATAAAAGGGTAAAATAAGGAATATTTTTTAAGAAACCTATCTTGTTATTTTTTTTGTAGTTTTAGCGAGAGCGAAGCCGCGGGTTCTGCTAGTAAATAAATAAATATAAAAAAATGTGTCGATGTGCCCGTGCAGCACGCGGAGGCGGTGCTGAGCGCGACGCGCGCGCTGGGCGTGGGCACGTGCTGGGCGCGCGACGTGCTGCGCGGCGGCGCGGGCGCGCTGTGCCGCGTGTCGCTGTCGCCGGCGCCGCGCGCGCCGCCCGCCGACGCCGCCGCGCTGCCGCTGCACCACCGCCTCGCCGTCAAGCTGGAGGGCGTCATACTGCCGCCGCCCGAGTGCGTACGCCGACTTTGTTTTTCGCAGACCGTGATTCTTTTTCTAAAATAAAGTTACTCTATATTATTATAAAATCGGCTATCTGCTAGTGAAGGTCCCGTCAAAATCGGTCCAGCCGTTTCGGAGATTAGCCGGAACAAACAGACAGACAAAAATTTTAAATATTGTTTTTTTTTCTTATAAGTACTATACAAACTTTCACATACATTCAGTAAAGAGCTGTTATTTTGACATTACAAACAGACACTACAATTTTATTTATGTGTATAGATTATACATATAGATAAAACACATTTTTTTCGTCTTGATTAAAGTAAAGTACGTATTTAAAATCAATAACATTAACATTTAAAAGTGAATAATTCTGTATTAAAAACTCTTTCGGTAAACTGGTCGTTTGATGAAATAAATATAAACAAATTTTATATGAATACAATTTTTTCACAGCAAAAGAAAACGGCTGCGTCAAGTGAAAGGCGTGCAGATCACCGTCACAGCGACGCCGCACCCGCGCACTAATGAGAAGGTATATAATTCATAGTTCCACTTAAGTAACGCTTATCCGTGACCCCCTTTTGTACTGTACAATAATGACCTACGTATGTCACGTGAGGCCTCGTATAATACGTATATTATACGTATGTATGAGACTACGTAGTGCAATTCAGAATAATTAATATTAGTACAACGCCATCTACCGTGTGGAAGTGTAAACCTTTTTTAAAACTCCCATGTTTAATATTATAAATGCCAGTTTGGATGGACGTGCACGGGTCTCCCTTCAATACGAGGGGGATTTTACTGTATAAGAATTATGAACAAACAGACGGTGGAGCTGACGAACGTGCCGCCGGTGCTGACGGCGGTGCAGACGGTGACGCCGGTGCGCGACTTCTTCTCTGCACAGCAGCTGGTGAGCGTGCCGGCGCCGGGACACTACACCGTGGCCGCGCAGGCCAGCGTCGTGGACGAGAAGGGCCAGCTGTGGCACACCGGGCCACGGTCGGCTATTGTTATTAAGGTATATTGCATTGTTGTTGGGTAAGTGTGGCATGCTCGGCCACGGTCGGCTATTGTGATTAAGATATAGTTGTTGTTGCTGTTGTTATTAAAGTCTACTACTTTTTGCATTTTTTTAATATATTTATTTATTTATGTACCAGAAAAAAAACATACAAGTTAAAACAGATGTCATGTGTACAAAGGATGACTTATCTCTTATAGTGTATTGCAAAATTGTGTAAGTTATTATCTTGTGCTAATTTTCAACACAATTAGTAATTACCACTTAAACCTTAAGGTAAATGGAAACCTGCAAAGAAATGCTCTAAGATTAGAGAACTATAGTTTTCAATAGGGCTGAAGATGAATTTAAAGAGATAATATTATAATGTTATGAGTTGTGTATTTAATTTTTTTATTATGTACATTGTACATACGTATTGTACAACGGAAACAAATGACATAATAAATAAATACATACACACTCTCGCTTCTCAAAATTAAACAAAAATATTAATTTAATATTTAATTGAAACAAATAAATGTTTAAAGCATTGATATCCTGTGTAAAAATATATTATTAATGATAAATTATATCTTACATTTTTTATAGGCTCATGAAGACCCGAGTACAAAAGGCAACGCTCAGGCTGCAAGAGGAAGATTTTAGATAGGAATCGAAATAATTATTATAATTTTTATAATCCAAGGTAAATAATTAATAAATCATTTTAATAATATATTTGTTTTTATTATTGTTAACTAGACAACCCAAATACAAAATATAATTCAAAAATTATTAGTAATTGTAACTTTTTTTAACGTTAGTAAATGCATTTACATATACCACCTGCATGCATAGAGGAGGTTATATGAGACTCACTGCACGGCAAAGCCAGTATTTACTACCCACTAAACCCAACAACACCACCGTCTTAATGACCAAACACGACGCCCCGATGGCAGGTCTGCCGAAGCAGACAGCAACAACCATGGGGTTACTCCTCAGTACACTCTGCTGTCAGAAAAGTACCAGGAGCAGCCCGCACGGCACACCGCCCACCGAAGTGGGACGCCTCCCTGTGCGTTTCTTGGCTTCGCGCCCGGCTGGATTGCTAAACGATAAAGAACCCCCCCTGTAATGTGGGAACAAAATGAGACAACCGTTTAGCTCCAAGGTTCGTTTAATACTCTTTACTAATAGCAGATCGTACAATATATAGGTACCGGGGCGGCTTACACACATACACACTACACACCACCCGCATATACAGTGCTGGATTTACACTAGGGGTTCTCGGAGCTAGTGCCACCAACTTCGAAAATATCAGATTAGGTATCTATTATAAATGAAAATCCCCGTTCAGTTATTTTTTATATTTTAGTGCCTGGAAGTAGGTTTTTATTTTTCCATTTTTAGTGTAGACGTAATAAGCAGGTAATTTGTAAGAATAACGTTTTTAACACCTCCAGGTAAAATTCTAAAAAATTAATTAAAATTCTAAGAAATCTATTGTTAACTGACACGCCGGCGTGTCAGGGGTCGTGGAGGGATTAATAACTTATTCAATTAAGCAATTTATTTAAAAAAATACCCCACCGATTTCGATAAAATTTAAATGGGTCCACCTGAGAAGCCATTTGAAACAAAAAAAAATCCAAATCGGTTCAGGCGTCTTCAAGTAATCGGTGAATATACATAAAAAAAGATTCCGACGAATTTAAAACCTCCTCCTTTTTGAAAGTCAGTTAAAAAGAGCTAATGCTCTAAAAGTGAAGGGCACAAATGGAGGCATAGTCACCATTGGCCTCAGTCGCCTTGAAATAAGTAAAGGATACGAACGTGCTTCTTACCACTTTGCTAACCGGTGTATGTACAACATTCGTTTTTATTATAACTAACTATCGGCTCACCCTCGCTTCGCTCGGGTTCGCCCGTAGAATGGCACAAACAGATCTATCCCACGGGAACCGTTCATTTTTCCAGGATAAAAAGTACCAGTTGTTTGACCGGCATATAAGGTATCAGGATGCCAAATTTTACTAAATTAGGTGCATAAGTTGTTGTGTACTAAGCTGTATAAGTTACCATAGTTTTTAACTATCCCACGGGAACTCTTTAATTTTCCGGGATGAAAAGTATCTAAGATGTTGACCGGGGACATAAGGTACCACCATGCAAAATTTCATTTAAATCGGTCCAATAGTTTCGGAGATTAGCCCGTACAAACGACAAACAGACAGAGGAACAAAAAATTAAAAAAAAAATTGGATTTGTTCTATTACTCTTCTTACATCCCCCTGACTCGGTTTTTAGCATTTTTGACTATGTACAGACATTCGACCTTTACAGTTTTATTATATGTATAGATATGTCGTTGTGTGTATTCCGTAAATGCACTAAATTATTAAAGCAAAATAAACAAAGTTTTTTAAACAAATTTTATTTGGTTTACATATAATATTTTGTAAACAAATAAAGATTCCACGATGACGTAATTCAAAGAAAAAGACAACGTATTCCTTTCATAACTGGAGCAATAAAGATGCAAAGCTCGCGATCATAGATCAACTACATTCTAAAAGACAGAAGTGACATTGTGATTGAAACTGGCCGTTTCATACTTATTTGTTGTTTTTTATGAGTAATGTTGATCATATTATTTTATAGAAAATGCCCTAATATTTGTATGTTTAAGTCTGTTGTTAATAATAGACGATTAAATTTGAATCAAATATTTATCTTTCTTTTTAAATCCATCCATCTGTTATGAAAGTCGGTTCAAACATAATATCAAGCATATAAAATATAAATATCTATTAAATTATCTATACAGTTAAATAAAATTGAAGTATCTGTTGATATTGATGTCAAAATAATATCTTTTTACTAAATGCATATGAAATTATTTAATGTAGGTACTTATAAGAAAAATATATTTTAATTTTTTTGTCTGTGAGACTGTTCCGCCTAATCTCCGAAACGGATGGACTAATTTTGACGGGAATTTCACTGGCAGATAGCTGATGTTATAAGGAGTAACTTAGGCTAGTTTTTTTTTAGAAAAAGAATTAGGGTTCCGCTCAAAAAAACGTACCCAGGGACACACCCGAGCGAAGCGAGGCCAAGTCGCTAGTATTGTTATAAATTAAAACGTAGTAACGTGTTTATAGAAACTAGGCACTAATATTAATATCGCGAAATTTGTCCCTTCCGTTTTTTTGATTAATCTATGACATGCGTTATTTCTTCCATCTAATAATTGGATAAACTTACGCCCAATGACAAACACTAGCTGTCTTTTTTTTTCTTATAGTTTTGATTACGCTATCCCTTTCACATCATTTGGAAATGTGGTGGTTTAAATAAAATGATAAATATTATGTGAGCTTGTGTGCTGCCGCTGGATTAGGTTTTTCGGACAGTGGACACTTTTTTCGCTAGTTTAATGAACATATAACGTATCTATATTATAAAACATCATTACCAGGCAGTATAAATGACGCGTTACAAGATTGCACACAATATAGATGGCGTTACGAGAACCTAATTTAATTTGTAAACAATTATATAAATTAAATTAATTAACTAGGCGAATAGACTCCGCGGCGACATACTGAATCGATTAACGAAATGTTTATCGATACATAATAACCTTGGTATCGGATAAACCGGTCACAGTTAATAGAATACGATCCAAACTGTTTACTGTGAGAACAAAATAAAGAGTGATAAGATATATGATTAAATCAGTTATTTATAGTTGAAGAGACAATTTCACTGTGCAATAATATTAATAATACTATAATTATTCCAGCAATACACTGTTGAACAGTGGCTAAAATGCATTTGTTAGTGTTATTACCTATTTTGGCTTACATTTTAGAAGTGAAAAGTGAATCTATATGTGAGATAAGTGGATGTGAATGCAAAACTATTAATAATTCTATTGTTTCAAAGTGTTCATTCTTACAAGATGTACCGATTAACTTCGAAATGCCAGTTTCAATTAAAACATTAGATTTGTCACAGAATAACCTCACAAATATCGGACCTATAAATTCAACAACGTTAGAACAGTTGTTACTAAACAAGAATGCTTTAAAAGAATTAAATTCTGGCATCTTTAACCTACCAGAATTAAAATCATTGGATTTAAGTGATAACTTACTAGAAAAATTACAACCAGATTTATTTAAAACAACAACGAAATTGGAAAACTTGGGTCTGGCGAATAATAAATTTAGTATAACTTCGCAATTAAACTTCAGCTATTTAGTTAATCTGCGAAGGATAAACTTAGATAACAACCTTGTCGGTCCCGATATAGAACTAAGGTCTCTTTTCAATGTCACTGGGCTCGGGTTACCTTCCACAATACAAGCTATATCAATAAATGGAATCAACTTAACAGATATCCCGTACGATTTCTTCGAACCAATCAAGAACTCTTTAAAGGAACTCTCAGTCTCAAATAATAGTTTAACCAAGTTTTTTAAACTACCCACATCCCTGGAATATTTGGACATCTCGAACAATCCCATAAAAATATTGAATACATCGGATTTCCCAATCTATGAGCCTCTGGTATATCTTAGAGTTTTGAAAATGAATAATCTAGAAATAGAGGAAGTGCAAGAAAATATATTCTCATATTTAACCCTCTATGAATTAGAACTGGCGAATAATAAAAATTTAAAGGAATTCAGTAATTTAACTTTTGGACGGGAAATACTTTTGGATTCTTCCGACTTTTTGGTCAAAAATATTACATTTAGAGGATCTAACTTATCTTCCCTTGATGAGAGTTTGTCAGTTTTGTTTAAAAGAGTCGAAAGATTGGACTTGCAGAACAATCCCTGGAACTGTGACTGTAGCCTCGCGTGGGTGCGGGATTTACCGATACCTGCCAATTTGACTGAGAATTTACGGTAATTAATCATATTAATCTATTAATATTATAAAGAGATAAATTCTGTAAATTTATTTGTAGAGTGTAATCTATTTCTCGCTTAGGAACTTAGAAGCCATATTACCGCTGAGTGAAAAATATGTATATGTAGTGTCAGAAAACAAAAACTTTAATTAAAGTCGGAAAGAATAGCTGTTAATTTGTTTCATCGGGACACCTAGAAACGCACCCGAGCAAAGCAAGAACTAAGTCACTAGTTTAAGTGTCAATATAAAATAGCTAAGCCTACTATACCTATTGTAAATATATGTAGGTATCACAATTTACCGCCTGTTTGTTAAACTGATTTTAAAAGAACTTAATAGTGATGGACAATTGGGCAGGCCCCTCTTTTCCATTGGGCTCTCTGGGCAAAGCCTAGGGCCCAGTGATCGAAGGGGCCACGGTCTGCCCTCAAAATAATCATTCTTTGCCGTCGCCATTCCATTCTACGCAATATTAGTACCCAAATCAATGACAAAATAATTTATTTGCAGTGCGATTTACAAATAAGTTTATAGCCCCAAACTTATGAAATATTAATATAATGTTTCTTTTATTGGTTTTACATAACTTAATTAGGTTCATTTGAACATTGAAATAAAATCCAATTAGCCAAATATCAAAATACGTAAAATAGGACGAAATGCGGCAATGACGTTAATAATCAAATTAGCTTAATTTTCTAAGCCGAAAAACTTATCCAGGGTAAACTAATTAAGAATTACAATGCTTCAAGATTGACCAATTTGTCGCTAATATCAATAGAATGTGATGTGCTCAAAAACATAGACTTTGAACAACTGATTGATGATTTTGCTTATGTGAAAACTAGAAGAATATCATAGAATTTTAAGCACTAACCTGTGAATGCTAAGAGTTACTTTTCCGAATTATATTACAATTATGTACTAACTAGCGATTCACCTTTGCTCCGCCCGGGTTCGTCCCTGGATATTTACCAAATTTCATCAAAATCTATCCAGCGATTTTCTTGTGATACGTTCCCAGACAGACAGACATACAGATAAAAATTCTAAAAACTATAGATTCGGCCTCTGTATCGATAACAATGATTATTTCAATAAGATTATCCAACAAATACTTAATGTATAGATTCGACTCAGAATTTTATTACATGTACATGTATAGATATGTATATTGTAAAGAAATAAAAATAATTGTTGAATAATTTTAGAATTTTGCTTTTCTACTATTATCTACAAGGGGCCCCGATCCTTATGTGCCCAGGCCCTTAAGGGCCGAATCATACGAAAAAACTTTAAGCGAAAGTTAATAAAAGCTAGTATTTAACATATTGTTTCGGCAAACTATATTTCTAGTGTACATAGGGTTTCTACTTAAAAGTGTTATATGGCTGTGACGATATAAATACGATATTTGAGACATTACAATATCTAATTAGGAATTCTAAAAAATCCAAATTGAATAAGAACTAAAATTTACTTCTTTTTTTAAAGGTTTATATATTTATAATAATATATTTGTTTTGTATGTATGTTTTCTTGCAGATGTGCCTATCCCCGAAATCTCTACAACGTGAACCTATTTGACTTATCGACAACAGATTTTAAGTGTCCGAAGTCCCAAGCTGGATTGCTGAGCTTCAACTCCGGGCTCACTGTTGGCGCTGTTTTGTATATTTTATTAATAATCTTCACATTACTGTGGATTTACAAGTTTCTTCACAAACCTTCTATGAGCCAACAGCAATATTCTCAACTAATTTAAGAATTTTCTAATACAATTAATTTATCTCAGTACTTTTTTGTTTAACATTACCGAACTTACGGGACAAATAAAATTTTTATTTTTGTATTCAATTATACAAGCAATATTAATATTAAGTAATGTATTATTTATTACTATTATTGCCGCGGCTCCGGCCGCGTTCAGATGACCAAAAAACAAATTCTTAGGTTTTACATATTAAGTATACTCTTACAATGTACCTACTTTTTGTACTTTTTCTCAGAAATAAGATATTTTCCCGCGGTAAAAAGTATCCTATATGTTGACCCGTATAACCAGCTATCACCATACCAAATTTCATCAAAATACCTCTAGTGGTTTTTCCGTGATGCGGTAACAGACAGACAGACAAAAATTCTAAAAACTATAGATTCGGCCTCTGTATCGATAATAATGTTTATTTCAATAAGATTTTATAAAAAATATGTAATGTACAGATTTGGCTTAGTTACAATTTTATTATATGTATAGATTATTACTTAATATTAAGTAATACAAGCTGGATACATAAAATAACCATCTTATACAATTATATTTGTGCCCAATTATACGATCTGGCAGCCCTGCAACATGCAATAAGTATTTAGGTAATAGGTAGGTATATCTATACCAATAAGTAAAATTATAGTGTATGTTTCTAGTTTTAACATAACAGCATTTTAATAAATGCATATGAAATTATACACGAGACTTATAAGAAAAACAACTTTTAATTTTTTGTCTGTCTGTTTGTTGCGGTTAATCCGAAACGGATAGACCGATTTTGATGGGACTTTCACTGGCAGATAGCTGATGTTATAAGGCGTAACTTAGGCTACTTTTATTATAGAAAACGAACAAACGCTAATGCCTAATAAAAAATACATTTTTGTTAAATATTGTGACCTACTAGGGTAAATAATTAAATTTTAACCAATAATTTATGCCGACTTTAGAATTTCTTTAAACATATATAATTATTTTATCTCTAGAAATGACTTTTTTTTCTAAAAACAATTATTGTATATCTATTCAAAGAGACGACAGGGAATTTTAAGAACCAGGTACGTAAGTGCTATTTACTTCAACAAATAAATTGTTAAAAATTTTAATGATTATTTATTATAATAAAATTGTTTCTTTTTAAAAATGTTTTTTGTTACAACCCCATATAAAACAGTTATCTATCGACTTAGCCTAATTTTGCTCGGATGCCTCCCTTTTATATCTAATTTTTAATTTTAATTTTATATTATCTATACTAATATTATAAAGAGGTGAAGTTTGTGAGGTGTGAGTCGAGCTAGTAATATTATACTAGCGACTTACCCTTGCTACGCTCGGGTTCGTTCCTAGCTTGATTCTCCATACAAATTTTCTTCCCTATTTTCACCCCCTTAGGGGATGATTTCCGGGATAAAAACTATCCTATGTCCTTCCCAGGGTCTTAAACTCTTCTTACCAAATTTCCTCTAAATCGTTTCAGAATCTGAAGACCACAAATAAACTCACAAACTTACAAACTTAACCTCTTTATAATATTAGTATAGAAGTATAGTAGTAGATATATAGACAAAATTTTATTACAAACGTAGTATAATATGTTATTCTTGCTCAGTCTATCTACGTACCTACGTACTAAATTCCATTCAAATCCGTCCCGCTGTTTCTATGTAAAGAAGTAAAAAACATATAGGTATCTACCATGTTTACCACTTATTATATTCGTGGTGTGACATTAATATTATGTTACAATAATAAACTCGGCATATTTTTAAATAATTTTAATAGGTCATTTTGTACAAAACTCAAAATCATAGATCTTACTGTCTCAACTCACCTCAGAAAAAAAAAGTAAAAACACTCGCTTAACATGAAATAGCTATTTCAACTAAATTCGTCACGAAACAAAATAATAAACGAACGATATGAATTACCTACTTTCACAAAGTAAACAAAGCGAAATGACCAACAATCAAACGATATCAGTATCACTGATAACAGCTATCTGGCACTGATAACAATCCATACACCTATCATTATGTACTTGTCATCTGACGGAACATGACAAAATGTTAACGTACATCATCATAGCTCTTATTGCTCATAGTTTTACAGTTGAAAGTGCCATAATATGTGAAAATGAACGCTGTGTGTGTCGCCACAACAATGCAAGTGATCGGGATATAATTGGAGAAATAATAGACTGTTCCTACGATCCTGTTGTGTTGGAAAGAGAATTTGTTCTGCCAAATACCGTTTATACATTGGATTTGTCCAGAAATAACTTAAGTAGTCTTTCACCTTCAAATTTACTCAAATCTAACTCTCTAGTGGAGTTGTATCTTAATAATAATAGAATAACAGAGATATCTAACGACGTATTGCGACTGCCTAATTTAAAAAAACTGGATCTAAGTGACAATGACCTTAAATACGTAGATAAGGATACGTTTAAACATATAAACAAATTGGAATATTTAAATTTAGCCAATAACTGGTTTACATCCTTCGAAAAAATCTCCTTCCACCATTTGGGCGATTTAAAACAAATTGTTTTGGACAACAACGATTTGGGATCTAGTCTCGAAGAGAATAACTTGTTCGATCGTAGCGGATATGGGCTGACTCATAAAATCCAATCATTGTCGATAAGTGGAATCAATCTAAACCGCGTGCACGAGAATTTCTTTATTGATGTTTACGACTTGAAACAACTTGACATTTCTAACAATAAGTTGGTTGAATTGTTCGAACTGCCTTTTACGTTGGAATATTTAGACTTATCCAGTAATCCTATTGAAAAAATCTCTGGCGAGGATTTTACAGATTTAGTGGCTTTGAAGGAATTGAAACTCAACAATCTTTCAATAAGAGAAATTTCGGAATACGTTTTTGATTCTTTACATGCTCTCACTAGTTTAGAACTCGAGAGGAATAAGAATTTGACAAAATTTAGCGCTATGGCTTTCGGCCAGGATGTTTTGGAAGACGCTGACGACTTCACTTTAGAAAAGCTATCATTGAAAGGATCAAGATTGACAACATTGGATGAGAGATTAAAAGTTCCATTTGGACAGTTGATAAAATTAGATTTGCAAGGAAACTTTTGGAACTGCGATTGTAAACTTGTGTGGATCAAGAGTTTACAAATTCAGCCGAAAGATTCCGAACATTTGAGGTAGGTGGATAAAAAGTAGCCTGTGCGTTATTCTGATGTATGAGCTATATTATTGTAAAGTTTCATTAAAATCCATTCAGTAGTTTTTGCGTGAAAGAGTACCAAACATTCATACATCTATACATCCAGACATCCATACACCCTCACAAACTTTTGTTTTTTATTATTAATAGGATTAAGATATTAATGTCTTTATAAAAATACTTTTCTTATAAAAATGTATTGAAATTTGGAAATGGAATAAATAGAACATACTGATGTATAACAAATATAAAATATTTACAATTTATATGAAAATTCGTTGTTTATGGTTTTTAGCACGCCAGATGATAAAGGATGCATGCCGGAAGATAATTATCATGCTCTGAAATTATAGAAATATTTTTGTTCTATATTAATGAAATATTCATCCACATATATCAATAAAAAAATCGAATCGTTAAAAAAATAAACTAACCATTTTATCCATATTTCAGATGCTTTACCCCCAAACCGCTATACAACAGCCGCATATTCGACCTAAACGAGAGATATTTCTCTTGCAAAGCAGACAGTAGACACATAGGCACAGTAATCGCCATATCGTCTCTGTGCATTTTCCTAACTTCAATAGCTTTATGGATATTCTTGTTCCTACCAAAATATCAATCTAGATGTAGTTTTATTAGAAACATGGCAATACCAAGTGCAGAATATTCAGTGTTACCAGTAACAGCTAGCTTTCGAGACTTATAATAATTTATAATTGATTTGCAATAATAATTGATGTTGTGTATATTGTATTTATATTTTATATGAAAAATTGTGATTGCCTATTATTTATTTAGAATAAGTGAAATAATTATTATAATTGTAATATATTACTAAAAATAAAATATGTCACTAAATATAACAAAAAAACTTTTTTTGGTTTAAAAATTAAAAATGGGGAAAATAATAACAAAAAACTGAATAAAATTCACTTTATATATTTATAAAATACAAAAGTGTACAAACTGCTATTACAATACCTTACAAGTCGTGCTTTAGTTTCCTAGTAGGCAATATTTGTGCTCCAGACATAACATGGCTATGTACTTATGTCTATAAAATACATCAAAACGATCAATATTTCACACTCATGCACTAAATATTTATGAAATTTTAAGTAAAAACTATTTGCCATGGTGTTTAACTCTACAACCGTTATCACGGGTTCGAGTCCCTCTCTCGATAAAAAATTTGGAAATATCGTACTATCATATCCACACATTTCGTTATAGCTATCATATAATATCTATTTTTTTAATCGCCATTTTAAAACCAAATTACAAATCTATATTAAAATGACAAATCAAAATTGTCCGAAGTAGCAACACTGCCACCAGCACGAGTGCGAAATATTATTAGAATATCCTCTTATATTACAATTTCAGATTAAAAATCGATATCTATTCTTATCTAAAGCAGGCACAAGCGTTTTACAAAGGCTGCGATTTGAGCAACATGACACGTTAGTTCAGTCTATAGTGTGGAGCGATCATAACCTTCAATACGAGTTCTTATATTTCAATATTAATTTTTTATATTTAAATATAAACATAAAGTACAACTGGTCTAAAAATGTATTTAATATACATTATAAAACTGTAAACATGTACAAGTTATCCGGCTCGAAGGACCAAAACTTAGTATAATCACTTAACTGGATAAATATCAAGAATTATCATCGACTCGACTACACACTGTAGGCAAATACGATAAGTTATTTTCTCCATATGTTTTAACAACCATTTATAACATAAAAAATTGTTTATATAGGCGGTGACCAGATTTTCTACAACCGAAAGTGACAGAACTAACTTTAACCGAAAAAAAAATCAATTTTTAATCTATCTATAATTATAACCATCTAAAATCTGTAGATATTACATTAAAAAAATACTTAGAATATCTTATCACCGCAAATGTTAACCATTTTTTTCTCCAACCTCGTCTCCACGATACGATATGTTACATAAGTTTAGATGTGAAGCGTTCTTTGGTCGTTTTAGCCAATACGAATAAGCAATTAAATTACTCTATAGCACAACCGCGTAACTGATGTATATTTAATTATACAATTAAATTAAATGTACGTAAAATATTACAAATTAAAGTTGAGTATTACATTTGTACGTCGATATCTCGTTTAGGAATCTGTGATACAAAATAAACATGTGAGATTCTTCTATGAGTATTACAATTTTAATTTTCTTCATTGATATACAAAAGATAAACATTTCTTTGCAAATATCTTTTCAAAAGTGGCGTCGACCTATGACGTTAAGTCGAACCAAAGAATAAAATTCAAAAATCGAAAGTTACAATTGTCTAACACATATTCGAACTTACGCACACCACATAAAGTACTTTTTTAAGCGAAACAACTTGCTTTTTAAACTTATCATCCGAAAAGCAATGAACAAACGAGATTTGAAAAGAGCGTAACTAAATTTCAAATTGTGCGCTTCTTTTTGAGGACAGTTTTGCGACGCTAATTATGTGTCTTGAGTTTTTGTATATCAATTATTTTGTTCTTATAATTAACCAAAATTAATCTCACAATAATAAATAGGCGAGTGCAAATTATATTTAATTTTTAAGTACCCAATAAAATTTAACTTCCAAAAATCATTTTACATTTCCTAAAATGTCACTCTATTTGCTATTCTTAGAGAGATTACACCTTACATTTCATAACTAACCTTTAAAAGTTGTAAAAAATATCGGCCATCTTTAAATGGCGATTTTAAAATCTAGCGAATAAATATTTATACTACTATGATATGGTCTTACAACTACGAACATACATACATGTTAACATTTAGCTTCCAATATTTTAAATTCAAAGCCTTTTTATTTATGAACATAACTCGGCTTGGATAATAATTACATAATTCAATAAACAATTAGATAAATCTAACAGAATTACACTCAAACGAGAATCGAACCTGCGCTTTTCGTTTGATTTTGTATGGCAAATTTGTTCAAAATAAAAGAATATATTATAATGCGCTGTCATTTTAAAATATTATGAGATGAGTAGCTGACTGTTTCTTTGCCAGCCGTCTGCTAAAAGAGAAAAAGGCGCGACAGAAACAAAACAAATGTGCGGCCAGAAGTTTTCTGTATTCTTTGACATACGATTAATGAAGATAGATATTTATAACCGTTTTAAATTCCATTACAATAATATAATTTTTAATAAATTATTTTTTTTTTTTACATCCCATTTATAAATTCAAATTGCAATAAAAGACGGATATTGACCGCACATTCGCTTTCTCTCTTTCTAGAGTAGTCATTTTCATGAGAGTATTGCTCAGTCCATTCTCTACGTCTATGAATGATGGTCACTTACACTGACTGACAGCAGGTTTTTTAATTAAATAATGAAGTACAGTTGATACTTTAAAATAAAGTATTTCGAAGGGCAGCACTTTACATAGACATATTAACAAAATATGAAACCTAAATCTAAAATATATTTGCTACTACTATAATAATACTAACATACAATTATTATTATACATTTTAAAGATTTGTGCTTTACATTCTTGTCTTTTCACTTAAAAAAATATGACACAAATATACAAAACTGTCAAAAAAACAGTCCAAATTAAATGCATTCAAGTCTTTTGTAGAAATAAAATTGAAGAAAAAATGAGATTCAATAGGTTTTGTATTTCAATTGAGAAGAATTTTGCCATTTTTCCCGTCAGATGTCGCGATCACTATGATCCTCAGTATATTGTAGAGCTCTAAAACGTGATGTTTTTTTTCATATTATTAAAAATTTAATTAAAATGACAAATTGTACAGTGCCAAGATGCAAAGAAAATGAATATCATTTGTTCCCAAAAGACAAAAAACTGAAGAATTAAGGGTCTAAAGCTATCGCCGTTTTTTGTCCTCTTATTAGATCTTATTAGACGACAAAAATTGGCGAAATCACAATCTTTATATTTAAGGCTATGTGTACACCATTTTACAGAAAGTGATTTTAAAACTGTCAAATCGTCTACAGGTGATTTTTTTGGCTACTATTGGATTTTTTACAGATAACACTGTAATGCATTACAATATACTGAGGATCATAGTGATCGCGACATCTAGCGGAAGAAATGGCAAATTTTTTTCCCATTACTCATGTGAGACTCCATAGAAGTAGATGTAATGGGATATTTTACTGACCATTTTAAATTCCCATATGAAATGCTGTCATGATTTTTATTCACCCGAGTCATACATAAAACACTACTTTCATTTTACTTCTTATATATCTTTAATAATATAAAAAACATATGTTCATATTATGTATTTTGAAAATCCATAGTAAAACCTATATAAAAAAACATTTAGATTATGATCAAAAATTGATTATCAATGCAATTTTGTCATAGGTACTCTTTAAGTTTCAAAGACTTAAGAGTCTAAATCTTAGACCCTTAAAGTGGTTAAGAAACTATTATTATAATTTAAATGTTTTAAAAAAATAGTCCCTTCACTGTGCCTAGTATTGTAGAAAAGTAAAATAAATACACTCTACTTCAGTGAGAAAATGAGTAAGTTAATATGATATCATATACTCTTTGATTTAATGAGTATTTTACCCGACTACGGCGAAGCCCAAAGGAGGGTTATGTGTTTGACCTCAACTCTCAATAAGACTTACAGCGAGTATAGCATTCGTGTCTCCGAATGCATAATACTATGTTTCTTCATCAACTTGTTCTCATCTTTTTAGTACATTTTTAATGCAGTCGGGTTTTTTTCAATGTTTATAATTTTCATAAGAAATCTTATCCTTTTCTAGATCCACGCATATTTAAACAGTATTTGATATGAACACATTATCAGTTTTAAAATTCTTTAAATACAAATTAACAATATACTCATCAATCAAAAATGTACTAGATACACAATCCCATGCAAAAGTTCCCTTAAAACTATCACCAATTGTATTTAGGAAATTATCCTAGTTGAAATAAATATACAACAATGTAAATTAAACCTTAAAGCTTAGCGTTACGTGCTTAAAGTTTTCACAAAAAAAATTAAAAGCGCGCTCAAATATTCAATGAGCGCTCATTCGGTGAGTACATTTTTTGTCGCTGATAACGTATCTAGTACTTTTATGATCGATGACTATACTGTTCAATTAATATTATTATATTATTTGTAAATCTATATATATAAAAGAAAGTCGTGTTAGTTACTTCGCTTATAACTCAAGAACGGCTGAACCGATTTAGCTGAAAATTGGCAGGGAGGTAGTTTAGAGCCAGGAGAAGGACATAGGATACTTTTTATCCCGTTCGACCGCGTTCAAATTTTTATGATATTTTAATTTTTGGATTTCTCTTAGTCCGGAATAGGTAAGTATTAAAACATATAATTAAAATGTGAGAAAGAAAGATTTTTTCTTTTTATATCTATTTAAAACGTACCTAGCGACGAACCCGAGCGAAGCGAGGGTGAGCCGCTAGTTTTAAATAAAACTATCTTTTCGGATATTTTCGCGTATCTATTTTGATTTATGGTTCCCGACATTTTGAATGCTTTACAGCAAACACATGGTTGCGGGAGAGAGTATTATTTAAAATGTCAAACGTTCGCGTAAATCTAAGAAAATATTCGTAAATTTTAAGTCTTAACATCTGGAAGGCTTATAGAACACATAAGCTTAAGTAAAGCGTATATAAAATATTATATTACATAGATTTAAACACAGATTATAAATACTTCATTCCTAATATTTATTGCTTAATAGTGATGGGACAGTAAAGTATGAATGACTTGATTATGTTTTTTTCAATCGCCATCACTAATAGCTTCATAGCAATATTATTAATTATATATTCTCACTGGGATTAATATCATAATTGATTAAAAATCACTGGGTTTCACATTAAGTATCCACATTTTAAACAATCCCAATCCTTTTCAATAGATTCATTCAAATTCGTTCATTCAATTTGATAAAAATCATTGATTTTCATATAGCAACACATTATATTAAAAATTGTGTCAGAATATAATAAAAATAATATTAAAATCAATAATTTAGAGAAAATACCATTATCTAGATTAATCAACCAATTTAATTTACATATTATATAGGGTGATATATACACCAGCGGTTCCCAAATGGTGGTCCAAAGGATGAACCTTAGGGTTCCGTAAAAAGGTCACAAGAGTTCCGTCCGGGAGTTAAATAAAACGTTGAACATGAAGCTTAATTTTAGTGTTATTATATATAAATATTTGAAAAAAAATCATTCATCACATCACATTAAATAGTTAGGTTATATTTTTGATACAATAAATATTATTATAAGTATTAATTTTTCATTTATGATTTATTCTTTCAAGTCAAACAGGTAAGTATTCTTACTTAAACACAATCAGTTTAGTTATTATCAAAATGGAGATCCGTTAAATAAATTATGTCCAATAAGGGTACCGAGGCCAAAAAAAGTTTGGGAACCGCTGATATACACCATCGTTATAATCAACCATAATCAAAACTAAATAAAATCCAAATGTCATACTAATCTATGCCCATCCCGGGACAAACCCTCATGTCAGACGGACGTTTCAGAGTTTAGCCTTAAAATGAACCTATTGCTTTTGGGATCCACAACCTCTTCGGAGAGCGTGAACTTGGGTAACTGTCTTATAGAGCATATAAGGGATACATCACCTTGTCTAAGTTGGAATTCAATGTTATCTGCCAATGGTCTTGCTAGAAGTTCATCCGATATAAGTGACCAGCGTTGGATTGGTCTTGCTTCTTGTTCAGCGGAGAGAACTGGCCCTTCCACTAGAAAAGGTTCGAGAAAGGCTCGGGGTGAGGCGTCTTGGGAGAGACAGCGAGCAAGGTGAGCTAGTACCTGAAAATAAAACAGTTTTACATAATACTTTCTTAGATTTAAGCGATTATTGGAAATTTTATATAAAACTATCTTTTCTCGCAGATTCATTTTAATTTTAGTCTGTAACAAATAAATAATGCCTTTGAGCCATCTAATAACTTAAGTCTCTCCCGTGATCACGATTGCTGTAAAACATTGGAAACGTCGGGAACAAAAAAAACAACAAACAATAATTCAAAAATTAGAAAAAAAAATCCTAGAGGGCGAAAAAATTCGAAAAGATAGTTTTATTTAAAAACAAATTCTAGTTAATAGTATAGACGATAGTGTTCAGGACCTCCAGACCTGCACATGCTAGCCACTAGATCATAGAGGCAAGAGTTATATACAATATTATAATAATAATTATTGTATGTATGCAGCCCTTTCAACGTCCCACTGCTGGAGGTGGGCCTTCTTTCAATACTAGGAGGATGATCACAAAAAAGCCCACTGACCGAGTCGGCGGAGTGCCGCGGCTGCTGGCGCGTGGCGCGCAGGTACTTCTGCAGCGCGCGCGCCAGCGACGGGAACACCGCCTGCGCCGCCTCGCGCGGGCCCAGCGCGCCGCCTGCGACACACGTCATAGCTAGGTAATTATACAAATAACCAGCTAGGTTCTTCCCTATCCCACCATCTAGTTCCATGACAAGCTACGAGGCTTGTATTATGGATACCAGATAGTTGACACGCTACACATATATAATTTTAAAATGCATACATATTATAAATATAAACGCCCACGACTGGAGTACAAACATTCGCGTTCATCACACAAATGAATGCCCCCAGCGGGACTCGAACCCGCGATCGCTGGCACAGCAAGTAGGGTTACTACAAACTGAGCCAAACGTTTCGTCATATTGGGAAAATATCCAAAAAAACCGGCCAAGTGCGAGTCGGACTCGCGCACGAAGGGTTCCATACTATTATCTATAAAAACGGCAAAAAAAATATGTTCGTTGTATGGAAGTCCCACTTAAATATTTGTTTTATTTTAATTTAATTATACATTTTTAAAGTAAAATATATAACTAAATATTCTGTGAAAATTTCAAACCTCTACCTGTTGCCGTTATCAATATCGAGTAAAAACGAGCAAAAAATCACGTTTGGATTGTATGGGAGCCCCCTTAAATATTTATTTTATTCTATTTTTTTAGTATTTGTTGTTATGGCGGCAACAGAAATACATCATCTGTGCAAATTTTAACTATCACGTTTATGAGATCTTGCCTGGTGACAGACGGACAGACAGACGGACGGACAGCGGAGTCTGAGTAATAGGATCCCATTTTAATCTTTGGGTATGGAAGCCTAAAAAAAGTTTTTTATGTGAAATATTCGCGAAAATCTATGAATTAAATATAAAGCGTACGTATGAGTGTCCTGTGTGTGTGTCTATTAGCGTGCGTGTGCAAAGCGTGTGCTATACCGTTGGCGGCGGAGAGGCGCACGCGGCGCACGTGCGCGAACGCGTCCTCGGCGGCGGAGAGCAGGCGCGCGCGGCGCTTGCGCACGCGGCGCTCGCGCTCCGCCTCCTCGTAGTAGCGCTCGTTGTGCGTGGACGAGTCGCGGCGGCGCGCGCTGCTCGTCGAGCCCGGCGCGGACCTGCGGCGGAATTCGTGATCATATACTACTTCTTTATCACCATTATAATAATATTATAAATGCGAAAGGACGTCTGTCTGTTTGTCTGTTTGTTACCTTTTTTTCTTTTTTGCTTAATCCGCTGATCCGATTTAGATGAAATTTGGTAAGGAGATACTTTGAGATTCTGAGAAGGACATAGGATAGTTTTTATCCCGGAAATCATCCCTTACGGGGGTGAAAGTGGATCCCTGTTATTTATATACTTCTAATATTGACGTATACCTACTAATTATTAATTTGATTTAAATCATTTCAATCGTTGTCATTACAGCGTGATATAACAAACCCACACTATCACACTCAAAACCATTATTATAACACATATATTTTTTATTCCGTCTTCATATAATATAGTAATACACAACATTCAATTAACTTAGCTACTAAAACTAACATTATAACATAATTAATAATTATACATATATTTTTTAATTTAAAAAGAACCATCCCTATAAAATCATTCAGAATAATTATCGCTTACGTAAAAAAAAACAAAATACTGACTAATTAATCTCTTTCCTTTCAAAGTCGGTAAAAAACTAATGGATTTCCACAGAATAGTGATAAAAAAAAAAACAAAAAACTGTCCATAGCCGTTATATAATACGTACAATTCGATACGATCCAATGACATTTTATAGTTTAATGTTACAGTCCGGTGGCAAATTAAAACAAAGCAATACCGTTGTATCTGACCGCCTATCGCAATGCTATACACAAATTTTAAATAAAATTATCTTTTAGAATTATTTCGCGGATTTATTTTTGATTTTTGGTTTCCGATGTTTCGAATGCTTTACAGCAATCATGGTCACTGAAGAGAGAGGTTTTAAACGTCTCAAAGCCTTATACTTGTTACAGACAGTGCCTACCCACAATTTTACCATTATTATAATTGCTATATTTAATAATAGTAAAAAAAATGTTTAGAATTAAAATCAACTAATATTGTAAGGTACTTTGGTGCCATTTTTGAATTTTTGAAATCATTTTGTAAAATTAACTCATACTTAACTTGATATCATATTTTATAAGAACATATTGTGGATAAAAAATCAACCAATCAGCAATTTCTGTTCAGATATAGCCATTAAAAATTAACACAGACCACACAGACAGACAGATTGCAGTATAGACTTAACTTATTAAATTAGTGTAGGCACTAAGCCTAGTAATCTAGTCAGCTAGACTAGATGGGTACAGTGCTAACATAAAAAAATCTGGACATATTAAATTTAAGGCTATACTTCGCGGCCTAAGGATAATAATCAATGATAGTATTATAATCAATGATATAGTGGAAATTTTTAGAGTCTTCACATTACTACACATTCTTTATACATTACAAAATAGGAAACTTAGTGTATATATTATAATTTGTAAAATCTCACCTTGTCTGTCCAGTAGACGGATTCGTATTGGAGTCCACTTCATAAAACTTTATACTGCCTTGTGCTTTTCTCTGAGATTTTGATATTGGTATTTTTTCTAAATATGGGTTATATATCGGAAACTCTGTGTAGTACTTCTGTAACACCCACACTGCGGCCCTCTGTATACTCAACTGCCCTATCGCATAAGACCTGCTTTCTCCATCTGGACTCCTTACTATTTTTATATAATAAACAGGCTCTAAATGCCTGATTTCCATTAACACAACCCCCACATAATGTATGAAAATAAGTGTATCTCCAAAACTTGATACATATGAGACTAAAGACGTATAGTCCATTGCTTCTTCACCCACAGATAAAGCTTTAGTCGCTTCATTGATCTGGACGAAGTAAAACAACCAATAGGAGAAGGAACATACTGCTAAAATCACTAACATCATTGCTCTAAAAACAAATATTCTAGGTAGAATTGCATTTCTGTTTCTTAAAAACACTGCCCAAATACCAATCGCTAATAAAACTAATTTAAACGCTAGCGACAACAAAATACCTTTACACTCGGCTGTACAGGATAACAATTGAATAATTTGGCTCGGCTGAATAGCTTTATTGTCTGATAATCCAGGAAAGAAACCCAGCTTCGGTAAAACAACCATTGCTAGAGGGCTGACAAACGAGACGAAAGAAAGCCCTAATGCTATAGTTGAGCCAAAATATCTAGAACAAACAAAACCGATCCCACTATCAGATTCCATAGGCCAATTGCTGACATCTTCCATTGATTGAGAGCCTTCAGATGTGTTCCCGGTCACAGCTGTAGTATTCTCCCCCCAGTTCTCATCTTGAGGAAGAATTTGGACTTCAATAACTTCTTGCCCATCTCGGCCAATTTCAGGATTAATGTTCACACTTGTTTGAAATGGTGCCATGTTGTCGCAGTCTTTTCGTTGAGATTTTGTGCTTCTGAAATAATAATTATAAGCTTAGAAACAAGGGGCTAGTACAAAATATCAGCTTTCTATTAACATAATTACATGATCAATTCTCTCATTAGGTATTTGTCTTTAGTAGGTTTTTATATAAATTTAAAATGTAAAAGTGAGTTAATAGTTGTTTATGTTACTTATAATTTTGAAAGGAAAATAATATATTGTGGCCCAATTTTGGTAAAACTTTGAATGATAATCTTTTTAATAAAACTATCTTTTCAAATTTTTTCATAAATTTATTTTGATTGTTGGTTCTCAACGTTTGAATGATTTACAGCAATCAGGATCACAGGACAGACTAGGGTTTTAGATGTCTCAAAGGTAATCATATAGTTGTTACAGCAAGTACCTACCCACAAAATTACAAAATTAAAGAAAATATGAAAAGATAGTTTTATTTAAAACTAACGATTCACCCTCGCTTCGCTTGGGTTCGTCCCTAGGTAGCTTCCTGCTTCCCCATACAAATTTTCATCCCCATTTTCTCCCCCATAAGGGATGATTTCTTCTTTATAATAATATATATGTCAAATATTCATATAAATCTAAGTATGATTTTCTTTTAATAGTACAAACTTTAAGTAAGCTCTATCTAAATATAAAGGTAATGGTTTAGTTTTATTTAAAGAAGTACCATTAAAAAAGTTTATTCAAAACAACACTGATACAATTTACAAAAAGTACTGTGAGAGACTGTCAAGTACTTGATACTTACAATTAAAATATAAATTAAAAAATATGACTACATATTATTAAAACTACTCCATCGCATACACCTATGTAAATAACATTTATAAAAATAATTTACATTCAAAAATAAATAGCAGCGTTTTACCTACCAATAAAACGCATATTAATTTACTTACCTTATTCGAAGCTTACGTATTGAGATAGGCATTACCGTTTCCGCCGTTTATATATCTATCCTTGTCTATCCGTCTACTGTCTCGCTCTCTATCGCACCACCTGGCAGGAGAGTGGGGATCGGTGTGAACGATTCCCACTCTTAAAATTATCTCTTCATTGAGTCGAGATACACCAGGCAGTTATTCAAAGTTAAGCTTCGAATAAGGTAAGTAAATTAATATGAGTTTTATTGGTAGGTAAAACGCTGCTATTAATTTGACTTGACCGTTATTCGAAGCTTACGTATTGAGACTTGTTTGTTATCGCCTGGTGGTGCAAGCGTAGGAGACGGACGCCAATGTGATGAAATAAACTCTGCTGTATGTAACTGAAACACTGAGATGAGATTTATACTAAGACCAAAATAAACACTTAATGCAGTGCTTTTCCAAAGTCCTTTTACAAATAAAAATAAATTATATTGTAGATAACACAACTCAACAAGGTATTAATACAACATGGGAGACATCTCCCTGGCCGATTACGGCCTCGGTCGCCAATGTTTCAGAAACCATCTGCCCTCGAGATGTTATGGTTTAAAAGTGTGTTCACTTAACATGACCAAGTTTATTCTTACTTACACTCTCCCAGTCCAGTGATCAGGCCCGAAGCTGAGACCCTAGACCGTTAGACCTTCAGAAAAACTAATATCTAACATTACTATGCGCGACCCGATACTCGAACAATAATTTCAATAACTAACATTAACAATTAATGCGTTTTAAAATTCCAATTTTAGTTAATAATAAATTAATAAATTCTTCTGAAAACACACACATTAGTTGACTTTCAATTCCTCTTCATTATTAATAAATAGTGCGCCCCATTTTATACCATTTCTTTAATAACTCTGAAGCCCATTGGTTTGGGAAACCAACTCTTTACGTATATAAAAAATAAATAAATCAAATGTAACAACGCTTAAAACTTGATAATGGCTTTGGAAGTGCCTATATTTATAGATAGAGAGATACCTCAAGAGACGAGATGATAACTATGGTAGGGAAAGGTCGACTTCGCACGATACTAACATATGTTGTAGGTAAATAACAATAATAATAGGCTAGTAATAATACTAGACTTAGATCTAGTTTCCTTTAAAGAAAGCTCAGCTAAACGAGTCATTGTTTCGTCAAAGTGACTCGCATTTAAATTAAAAATTCTAATAATATTATTTAATTTTAGAATAATAATTTCTTAGATTTACACGAATATTTGACAATCCGAAAAGATAAATATTTAATTTAGAATAATTACAACGCCTAACGTAAATCCTTTCCATAAGTGTGCCAAAAATACCATAACGGATATATTCTGTTAAAAATGTTCGCATACACATTGGTGTAAAATTTATGATTTTTTAACAATGACATACGTATACGCATATGTGTACGTTTAACCTCGACGATAAATTTATGATTTACGTAGAAGAAGCTACGTATGATGTACACAGATGCACATCACAGGATATTTCCACATATGACAATAAATTGAGAACACTTCTTAGGCACGAGTACTATTATATAAATTTTAAAACAATGTCACTTATAAAACCAAGACTCATCAAATATACGCCATAACTTTTATATAGTAAAAGTCGGTCATTTGGTAAAATCCATAACCAAGCAATGGACATTATATTATCTTGTTAGTGGCTACAAAAACGTGTCACTTAAGCAAAGATTACTTGCCAATGTCACGCAAAATTAAGGATAATTTTTATAATGTATTACGTACCTCCTCAATTTGTGCCTATAATTCATATTTTCCAGAACTACCCTAGCTGTCAGACTGGGGTTCCATAATAATATGTCAAAAACTTACAATTTTAGCGATGATCATAATACGTCATTTCCGTTGTAGTCTATAAATGTGATCCAAAATTAAGGATAAAATTTTCACTATAATGTGCTACATTTCAAGCCTTCCTTGAGAAAATGTCATTTTCTTAATATATTAGTAGTAGTATTTGCCAATGTTATATTTTAAGTTATATTCCATGCTTAACGTTGAGTCTTATCGTTCTTGGAACTTTCAATACCCTTATTATTATTGAAAATTCTCAACGCCGTAGCTTACCAACATGTAATGTTTGTATGATTTCTTAGACTTTTTAAGGCTTAATTTGCAACAAAGACGACCTGTCGTTACAAGCACAGCAGGAACGCCTAAAATAGCAATTGCCCCTGATGCCCCGAGTGGGAATATCAGTTTAATATGAAATACATTACGTTACATTTAATCAACGTAATTCAGAAAGGCCCGTAACGTATGCACTTCGTAAAGGTACACTGTTGTTTCTTCTAATAATTTGCCTTGGCCAAAACCAATTGGTTTCGGCTGTTCGACCACTGGAATAGAATATTATACTTTTTAACGTGTTCAGCAAGTCTTAATGACTCGCTGCTGGGCACAGGCCTCCCTTCATAAGAGGGGGATCAGGCCATTGGCCACTACCCTTACCCAGTGCGGGTTAGAAATTTGATAAATGGATATACGATATCCATATGTTCAAAAAAATAATAATAATATGTATAATATTTCTTATAATGCTCAAAAGCCAACTCATTCACAGGTTTGGAGTTTATATATTACATACATACCTAAATTTATATCTTTTAAATCCGACTTGTATCTTCATAAAAGTGAACCAATCTTATTGAGACGATGCCTTCCCATACAATTATACGCTCAGTAATATAACGATTGTCCTAATTCAGTGAATTTAACCAAACTATATGATGTAAGTGACCATTCAACGCATAGCTTAAATTTTATGCTATACATATCAAACTCCAATTGAGATCAAAACTGCACATTAAGCTCACTGCTATTTTCTCCTGATGTTTCACTGTTTCATTGTCATTTGGACAAGAATCAACAATCTGTAGAGATTGATTTGTGAAACAAGTATATTGTCAATCCCGCGAGGATTTATATTCATATTAAGCTCACTGCCATTTTCTCTTGAAGAAAATTAATATGTGACTCACATTTGGACACAAATCAAAAATCTGTAGAGATTGTTTTATGGAACAAGTATACCGTCAATCCCGCGAGGATTTATATTCATATTAAACTCACTGCCATTTTCTCTTGGAGAAAATTAATATGTGACTCACACTCTGACAAGAATCAAAAAATCTGTAGAGATTGTTTTGTGGAACAAGTATATTGTCAATCCCGCGAGGATTTATATTCATATTAAGCTCACTGAACGGGGCTTACATTCAACATTTGTGATTATGATATTAATATCACAGCTAGATGAAAATCTCAGCGTTAGGGTCTCCATAGATCCTCTTCCAATGTGCTTATGTGCTTATCTTGTCGTGGTGGAGGGATCATTAACGTCCGGCAATCCTGCGACGCCCCTTTAAGACCGGGTAGGTTCGGTTTGATTTTAGTGGGTAATACAGGCTTTGCCGATGAGTCTCACATAACCACCTGTATGTATTTGCATGTAGGTAGTATGCGTAAATGTATAACGGTCACCTTTGATACTCCTTAGGTACCCACATAACTAATAACCCTGCGAGGGTTAACCATTTTACGTACTCCTGCGGGGAGAAGTTTTATTTATAAAATACAGCTCATAGGACCTCTTCAAGGCAATTAAGATTTGTATTTAGTCTAATAACAATTTACACATGTACCATGGCAGTGTTATGAAAAATAATTAATGTCCTTATGTTGTCTCATGTTGATACTCGTGTTGACATCTTAACTGCATTTTTGCTCTGAACTGAAATAAAGCTTATAAACTATCGTATTGTCTGCTGAAAATGAATATGAAAATAAAATATATGAAATTGTGAACTACACCAGTAGGCTCTTCCTTTTTCCGAAAGCATTTTCACACTTCATATCACGTACTTACATATATACTACAACTGTAATAACTTTATTTGTTTACAGTGCTGAAATGATTTCTCAATTCCAATAGATATTTCATTACTCTATGTCAATGTCAATTATCCATGAACCACAAGAATATGTAGGTATATAACTTACATAGTTATATAAAAATGACATTTAAATATGTATTTAATTTCAAGACTCACTTTAAAAATGTACTTGTTTATACCCTCAAATTGCTTACGCCATTTGAACAATGTATAATTATTGCATACTCACGCGAACTGTACAGCTATTGTTTCGTTATATTTCTGTCGGAACATGCTCCAAATGCGAGTTACTGGCATCATCGGATGTCTCCACATGCCCTTTTCGTGTTGCTCCCTCTCTTTTGCAACACTGCATACTTTATGTAAAAGTTACCTATATATTAATATGTGTCCTGCGCTTCGCCGTTTATGTTCCTTAAATAGGCCAAATGTTGGCTTCACCTAACAATGATAAACCCCTATATTCTAAAAGTAAACAGTTAGTAAGCAAAGCACTGCAAGGTAACTGACTAAAATGTAGGAATTATACCATTGTATAATCTATGTAGTCAATAGTAAAACAAGATTTATAAGCTAAATTGAATTACGTAGTGCCAATATACTTTACCATGGTGTTAATTTATATTAATTTGAATTATCATGGCATGAAATAGGCAGGGAGATCATGATGGTATTAATTTAAAAATTGCAGTTAATGTAAAAACATTTTTAAACATTTTAACAGTTATTTAATATAACATGCATTAAATTTCTAATTCTCAAATACTATTAAGTATTTGTTACTCGTTTTATTTTGTGCTAAACAAATGTCTAGAAAAATGATGATAATAAATAAGGTAAATGTACTTACATGGTGTGAATCGTTACCTTCTAAAATTTTTGTTGGCGATTACCTCAAAAACTTACATAGAAACGTCTTCCTATAATGCTACGAGTTACTTGTATAGTCGGTGCGAGCCCAAGCCAGCACGACTGCACTCGGCGGAAAACAAGACGCCAATGAAGAGATAATTTTAAGAGTGGGAATCGTTCACACCGATCCCCACTCTCCTGCCAGGTGGTGCGATAGAGAGCGAGACAGTAGACGGATAGACAAGGATAGATATATAAACGGCGGAAACGGTAATGCCTATCTCAATACGTAAGCTTTGAATAACGGTCAAGTCAAATTAATGTATATAAAATACCAGTAACAGTTTCTGTCACAGGTGCCATTATATATTAATTAAAATTTAATAGCTTTAATTTACTAAGTGCATAGATGATAAGATAATAAAAACTTACAGGTCATTACCCCATTAATTAGAAATCAATAGTATAGTGAGTGTTGTGGAAGACATAAGGTTAGTTTTAAAAGAATTTTCACTCTTTACATGTATATTTTTATATAATTGCAACTACTATTTGTTTACTTGACTTTGATTCAAACATCATAGTGCAATTTATATGATGGGTAAAAAAAGCAAAAAATATATATTACACAAGTTACTCTAGTTATGTAGTCTTAAATATTATGAACTTAATTAATAACCATACTATTTGCTAGCTTCTATAAGTGTTAAGTAAATCAATGTAATAAATTAAACGTTAATTTTATTACTTCAAATATTTGAAGGAAATACAACAGTTTCATAAATAATCTAACTTTTAGGACGATTTGGATATAATAATAAACATAAGTTACCATGAAACATTAAACTTTTAACTTCAAAATTCTAGGAAGAGTTCAAACACACTGGTAGCGTCCACTGAATAAATATAACATCATTAAATAAACATACCGAGTGCTCCGATGCGTGTGCTGCCTGTGCCTCGAACTCCGCCGGGATCGGCTGCTTATTTCGGATCTTACAGACTCAGTCTCCATAATTATGATATTTTAAAGTCTCGACCGACTCCCGCACTTTATCCATGAGTGATTTTCTCTATGAACCTGCAATAATCCACCATGTAATCGAGACACGAAATCAGAGCAATTAAAATGCTTCTAAGTACTTCACGGAAGTATGCACACAGAACGAGTTCAATTTAAACATAAATGTTTCACTTTACACAACATAAGGGACTGGGGTCATCGAGTTGACTATTTCTCTAGATATCAATATAAATTACCCTTGCATTATTGACATTTATGGGAATTTTCTAATAGCAGCGTCGTTTACAGGTGTAGCCTAGACGATTTCATATTGAATATTATACGGCTAAAATAATTGACAGCATATTCTAACTGAAAGCACACCGTCTCTCTTACACTGGCTTAGTAATGTATATAGCTATCTCACTTAAAAAGACAGTTTTGTGGTTAAATTTTAATTTTTTCTCCCTTACGTGGTAGGGCTTTAATCGTTCAGAAATTAATATAATAATTTCTATATTAAAATATAAGAGATAATTTATAAATTTTAAGTGAATAAATATATAGTACAAAATTATATATATTCGTACTATGATTTCAAAATTTACTATATTACACTTTTGAAATTTTTAAAACATAAATATGTGTGTGGCGGTGAATTCGAATAATATAGAACACTAGATTACAAGGAGTGATAATGATAAGATAACACGTCCGTATCTAGTACATTTTTCTTTGACCAACCCTTTTGGACATGAAGTTATTATTTACTGGATGAAAATCATGGATAACCCACAAAATGAAAGTGTACATCGAGAAAGAAGAGAAAATAGGGTAGAAGACCTTCATTTAGATCGAGTAGTGGCTTCCCAACCAGAAATTGGACCTACTCCTCCAGATGGAGGATACGGCTGGCTTATTGTTTTTTCTGCGATGATATACCACATAACAGTACCAACAGTACTGGTTTTATATGGACTGGTAATTTTAAAGTCAATCCGAGAGGAAGACCATGATTTAAATGAAAAAATAAAAATTTGGGATGACGATATAGCATTAGTGCCTGTTATTATGGTGGTAATAAAACTTCTCCTGGAATCCTGGTGCAGAGTAATGGTCAAAATATTCAATATGCCAAGGTTCACAGCGCTAGCTGGCTTGTGTTTAACTGTGGCAGGAGTGCTAATATCCAGTTATTCGACTAATATAAACCGCCATGATCATATTGTTAATATTTTCGCAGGAATATTTGCTGGTAAGTAACGATATTTTGAAAGTCACGGTCTTGTGATAATATGTAAAATAAGTAAAATATTAACTAAGAGTTTATGAAGGTCACAGACACTGTATGTGACGAGTGTTTTAATGTGCTACTTAACATACGATGGAGCAGTAGTGATTAGTGAAGAATAATAAATTACTGACAAGTTTTATTGAATAGCTATAATCTGACGTTTTGTCATTGTATTGAAGTAGGTCTTCAATCTTCATCAATGTATTTGGTCAAAGAACACTTGTTTATATTTACAACGATAAAAATGATATTTTTTCCTTATTTGTTCTCTTTATATAAATTACTTATACAATGTAGAGTAATTTACTTTTTATTTCTGTAATAATGTAAGCGTTACATACTATACATGTAATCAAATTCTAAGTGAGTCAAATCTGTACATTAAATATTTTTTGGAAACTATTATTGAAATAGTCATTATTAATTATTATTGATACAAAGGCCGAATCTATAGTTTTTACAATTTCGTCTGTCTGTCTGGGAACGCATCACAGGAAAATCACTGGACAGATTTTGATAAAATTTGGTATGATGTTAGCTAGTTATCCGGGTCAACATACAGGATACTTTTTACTGCTTGAAAATATCTCATCTCTGAGAAATCTATACTAATTCTTAAAACGTAACTAGGGACGAACCCGAGCGGAGGGTGTGTCGCTAGTATAATAATAAGACTGAGAACATTATTTACGTGTATGTTGCCATTTAAATCGTTGAATAAGTATATAATTTGTTGGCTCACTATTATAAGTTACAATTTTAGTACTTATTTAGTTATTAATGCTACAAGGTTCTATGTGTCATTAACTGGTACAGTTTTGCAAAAACAAACCACTAGATAGCGGCACTATAACTACAAAATATTCAATTTTACATAGTTCTATGTTGTTTATTTTACGATAACAAAATAACGAAGTTCTATGTAAAAATTACTAAACTTCATTAAAATTAACATAAAACCTTGTAATAGTAAGCCAACGAATTATGGCGACATAACAAAAATCAATTAATTAATAAAATAAAAATAAGTAAATAAAATATGTCTTTTCTCAAAACCAAAAACACTAAGTTCAAGGTATGGCATACCATATTACCACTCGACTTATTTATTCAAGTTAGAATTTTTTTACTGTGTTTGATTATTAAAAAAAAGGACTTTTTGTTCTTCAGTTCTCTATTAACCTCCTATATCACATTTTAGGTGCTGGATGTGCTTTAACTGGACAACAAACAGATGTTATCATTACGCATTATTTTAGAGAAAAGCTCACTATAGCACAAAGACTCGTGCGCATGGCTCCTTCCCTCGGCAACGTCATAGTGTCACTGTTAGTTGGCTACCTTTGCACAGTGTACACAGGCGACGTAGTCGTTATGATCTATGGAGCCATTATCATGCAAAACTGTTTATTCCTAGCATCTTATACTAGACCAATTTATATAGAAAAAGTTATAAGAACCACCTATAATATGCTTCGAGTCGCAGAGGATGATGATGAAGTTATTTTCTCAAATCAAAATCCACAAAGATCAAGTGAATTACAATCTGGTCCACCTGGAGTGTCCAAACCAAATGCGGTGGCTGAAAATGTAATGTCTACTCAAGATGAAGAAACTGACGTTGTTGTCTTTAAATCTCGGCAGAATGCGAGAGAAGTTCTTGACCCAGAAATGCAAATTCGAGAAAATAACTCACAACCTCGGTTTTCCTCTGATTTTAGCACAATGTTTGAGGGTCCCTCGAATCGATTTTCATCCGATTTTGGGGCTTTTGATATAACTAGGTTTTCTAGTACTAGTAGATATCAAGAATTAGAAAACATAGATAGGGATGGTCAGATTCCGCAACCCCTGTATAGAGAAACGACAATTAATGCTCCTTCGAACAGCCTCGTATTTTCATCAGAAGTAACTCCAGGAACTGCTAGAAGAACAGCATCTTTGAAGAAGAACTTTATTACAATCATGAATATGCTGCTCGATTTGAATTTCTATTTATATACTCTTTTACATTTGTGCACAACTTATTCTTTGCTTATACTGGGATTAGTGTTTCCTCCAATGTTATGGGAACTAAACCCGACGTTAAATATTTGGTCGGTAAGTAAAAAACGTTATTTAATTTATGCTAACATTTTTGACAAAAAAGTGGAGTAAGCACTTCTATTTACTTTATTACATGTATAAAAGAGACAAAAGGTATCTTTAAGGCTAAGTTCACATGTAACGCGCGTTAAAGCTCGTCATCGCGCGATCAAATTTAGAAAGAGTTCAGATGACAAGTGCTAACGCGCGTTGCGAGTGCTCGTCAGTATGTTTCGGTAGAGACCAGAAAACTGACATGTAAGAGGCTTTTATTTTTGGTTAAATTACAAAAAAATATGGAAAAAGAAAACAGACACACTGGGGTCACCCAATTTCGAAAAATAGACCCAGTTTGTTTGCGACATTATATCCGAATCTATATTTACATTATATACAATACGTATCTAAATTCTTTAATTACTTCAGAATGTCTATAAAATCATTCGACATTTTGCTTCAACTTATCCAATGGAAGCGCGCGCACAACTGAACAGCAAACGGACATTACATATTTATAAAAGCGCACCTCACAGCGCGATCGCCTACGTCTACTTTAACTTTTTAAATTTTTCACTGAGAGTCGCGTTAACGATCACTGACGCGCATTAAGGCGCTCTTTTCCAGAATTTAGGATATTTTGAACCATTATAAAACCACGAATATAATACATATAGTTCTAAAATTCATACATGTTATAGTTAAGGATAATAGCTAAGTACCCGGAGAGGCCAAAACACGATTGGCAATAGTTCACTCAATAGAAAAAAAATTCAAAGATAGGTCTAAAAATACCTTAAAATCTCTCATACACACAAAATACATTATTATATGATATGAAAGTTATACTCATAGATTTAGCTTGTCATTATTTAGGTATTCGGAGAAACAGATTTTCATTTATTAACTTATATTTATGGCAATAGGCGAAAAACAGATAAAATTAAACGGGTCGTCGCGCGCTGGCGCCTAAGGAGCGGCGATTCTGGAAAAGAGCGCCTTAACGCGCGCTCATTTGATCGGTTGTAAGTGAATACCAGGATATCTAGACGCACGGTTTGAAAACGTGCGTAAAAAATTAGCCATCTGAGCGTAGCCTAAAGATCAAAGTACCTACCTTTGATCCATACATTTAAAGTTGACTTTATCTATCAAAGTCAGTTCTGCAACTTTCTCATAAGGAATCTACTCGACGAAATATTAATGAGGATCAGACTTGAGAAATTAAGGCTAAGGCCCATTATGAAACTGATTAAACGATTCTTGCTTGGATATATTTATAAACAATTCTTTTTAATGAATAATTCAAGGTTTATTGAATTTCAGTAAAGTATAGTATCTTGGAATTATTGAGATAATAAAATTAAAAAGAAATACAAACTAATCTCAGTATAAGAATATACCTTTTTTAATTTACCAAAATAATCGAGACTATAAATAGTGCTAGAGGACTCTTTATGAACGGATACGGTTTAATAAAAGTTGGTCCCTTCTATATGTACTCTACATAGCTTGAATCAATGAATTCCATCAGCTATACGTATCACTTATCAGAGTGATTATCAATTATTTACTTAATGCATTAATTAATGTTTTAGGTGGCAACAGCGACAGCGATCTCTCACCTAGCGGCCCTCTTATTTATAACGCTATGTATAGCCCTACCGCAGAATATTAATGAAAAAACTAAATTATGTGCTGCTTTTTGTGTGTGTGGCGCACTTGGATTTTACGGTAAGGAAAACTTAATTTTATCAAGCTCAATATAATTAATTGCAAAGGGAATCCCTTTTATTAAGTGATTCCATTTTCAATAAAAGATAGGCTATCTCACAAACTATATAGAATAGGGCCATCTGTATTATTAATTACGACGGGAATCCCCTATTATGTCATACATAAATCAGTAAACCATTTATTCATATAACTTTAAAATTAAAAAAAAACTATTTTACTTCTACAGGTATTACCCTCTCCGTAAGTAAGAGCTTCCTCGTAGTATGGTGTATGTTTGCTAGTTTCGCCACAGCCGCTTCAAGCGTACTGCAACAGCCGATATACAACACTTTGAACGAATTTGACAAAACCGCCACCATGACGACTGCTAACGTCATCGTAGCAGGCATCCTTATGGTGTGGTCCATTGCATATAATTACGAATATAAAACATGCTTCTTCATCGCCAGTCTTCTACAAACAGGCACAGCATGCGTATTCTTCATAGCATCGTTTAGAAGACGGAGATAGGTTTTTTAATGTAAATAAAACGGCCAATAATGTGTGTAATATTTAATTTATAAAGTGTGTGAGTTACTATTGTTGAATTATACTTACGTTTTATGAGACAATTGTAAATATAATATTTTTATGTATTTATAAAAAAAAAATTTATTAATAATAAATAGATAATCTGTGAATGTGACATTTATATCGGCGGGAAAATTTAAAAACTAGTTACCGATGTACATTTTACTTATTTCAATATTTTGAATATAATTTTAGATTGGTTTTCACAACTGAAGCGATAGAAATTTAAAAAATAATAACCACTAACAGCAAAAAAGGTTTGTATAGAAAAAAAAACAAAGTTACGTATATTAGTCATAAGTTCATAAATCATAGATCATGTTAAAAGTTATAGGACAAACAGATCATCGATAGAGAAATCTTGGATTCATAATTATTAAATAAAAATAAATTAAAAACATTAATAACCAAGCCTAGAGCATAGTTTATCAGTAAAAAACCTATGAAGTATACTATGTATACTAAAATGCTTTAGAAAAACCAATTAATAAAAAAAATATTGCTTTGATACTTATACAGGATCATTTTTAATTTACTGAAAACCTTTTGGGAATACACTATTTACTATATAACAACAACATCTGTAAGAAAAACAATTATATATCTTAAATTTAACAAAAATAAAAATATTTTTATTGCACCTTCTCAACGGTAATAGTCCAGCATTAGCAAAAGTGCGTGTCCGGTGGAGGGGGAGGGGTGGAGGGGTTCAGGAAGCCGCGCTTAATCATTTAAACTTGGCCAGATGCTAGAACTTTAAAGTTTAGAAGGTGCAAAAAAAAAATTTTTGTATGAAAATAAAAATTTAAGAAATATTATTTTTTCTTGTTACAGATGTTGTTGTTATGATGTAAATAGTATATTCCTAAAAGGTTTTCAGTAAATTAAAAATGACCCTGTATACTTAATTAGAAACAAATAATATAATACAAAGAAAACGAGAGTCACGATTTTTATTGGCTTTTATTGTATAAGAGATCATCACATATACCTATTACAATTACAATTGAAATAAAATGTAACAGTACAGAATGTTATACAATATAATATGCATAACACACAACTTACTTAAATAAATATTACAGAATTAATTAAGACTATATACAAAATTAAGTTTTTTTATAAGTTCTGTCATTTTATCAATCCAAATGTTCTATTTAAAATAAACATTTTGATGCCTTTTCTATTTTTTGTAAAAAAATATAATTAATATGTTAATTTAATAATGTAATCTAAGCAAATAAATTCATTGAAGAAATAAAATTAAAAATAATTTACAAACATATAAGTATAGTGATTTCTTGTAAAACTTAATAAATATTAATTCTACGCTATGGAATAAAATTAAAAATTAAATTCTAATAGGAATGTTAAGAAAATAATGTAAACTATACCTGAATTGCGGTCGAATATTTCGAGCCTTTAATAAATTGTAAACTAACTTTACAATATGAGTATGTCTTTTTCTTCTTCTATCATAATTCATAGACCAACAACAAATCTCAACCCTTGATGGTGCAACAAAGTTACAAATTATTAAGGTAATTTTGGGTACAATAGGAATCTACAGTACTCATATACATAAAGGAGATTTGTATGTTTGTAATGTGCAATAAACTAGTGGGTCATAGAGTGTGACTGTTGGTAATCAAAATAATGATTGACGGTAATCATGGTAATAACATTAAAAAATATGGGGAAAGTAATAAAGGGCCGTTCAAGTATTACGTAAGCTTATTTTTAAGGATTTTGGACCCGGAGTCCCCTATATATATATGTATAAGCAAAAATAAGAAAAACAAACCCCCTCCCCCCAAACGATAAGACGTAAGATTTTTTAAACTACGCGCTAATTCACAATTTTAAAATTTATCAAGTAACTTAAAGATTCATAAAATAATTTTATTTAACCTAAAAGAATAAAATAACAAATCTAATATACATAAGTGAAATGAAAAATATTACTTTGAATTATTAATATTGTTACTGAACCCCCACTCCCTCTCAATGTTAGCTAGTAAGAAAATATATTCTTACGTAATACTCGAACGACCTAATGCGCAAATACAACCATAAATGACTTACAGCTGAGCGAAGGCATTGAGTGATGGTCTCTAGTATGACATAAAATACTTCATCTCAGTTCTTAATTTATAAAATCAGCGGCATTAATATTTTATCAATAATATGTACTACTTTTTATTTTATTACACTTTATTACGTATGTTATGGAATTCTGTAAAAATATGGACTAAATACATTTATTGGAGAAAACTATATAGTTAAGGCCAACTTTACACTATTACATATTAACTGTTTTTTATACATATGTCCAATACTGATTAGACTTAAGTAGTTGATAGAAAGATAAGTTTTTAATTTATCACTTTTAATATTGTACAAAACAAACTATACTAGTAATAATACTAATAGATAATATTTTTATTCAACGAGTTGTGAAAACAAAAATACTTTGAATTTTAAAAGACACCACGTTACTGGCAATAATAACCTTTTATATTTTGAATCATCCATTATCACCGATTGTTATATGTAATTATGAAAAATTATCGACTCACCCTCGCTTCGCCCGGGTTCGTCCCTAGGTACGTTTTGACACTTAGTATGGAATAGACAGACTATATGTCTATGTGTATACATAGGTATGATGAGTTTTATACCCCTTGAGAAATGATCGATTCACCATACAAACTTGCATCCCCCTTTTCCCCCTCTTAAGGGATGATTTCCGGGTAAAAACTATCCGTACCCTTCACAGGCTCTCAAACTATCTCCTCACCAATTTTCATCTAAATGAGTTCAGCAGATTAAGCGAGAAAAGATAACAGACAGACGGACAACTTTGTCAGTCTTTCACATTTATGATATTAAGTACTGATATCATTTTTTCACATAAAACACCTCAACTTAACTTAACAAATCCATCATTTCACTGTTACTTAGCTTTTTGACATTATTGTTGTTGTTTGTCGTATTTTGACTCTGTGTAGGTAAAAGAGATTCAAACGCTGACCAATCCTGTTTCATACTTCCCTGATTATTTTGATTATTTGCCCATTTATTATTGAAATTCCCACTTTGATTCGAGGTACCTGTGGGCCAGCCGGTGCTGGGGGGTAATGCTAGCTGGTTATCAAACGGCATAGTGTAGTTAGTTGACGGATTAACCATATTAAGACTATAGTTTGGTAAGCTTGGTTGACGTTGGTTGATAGGTTGAGGGACGTTCGGTTGATATTGTTTTGTTGTTAATTGTTTTAAGTTTGTTTGTAGTAGGGAACTAGTTAAATCGACAGGTTTAGGGGTTTGGGGAGGGGGGATGATTGATGGAGTGGGGATAACTTTAGGCGGTGCCTGCCGTGAGAAATTTCGGGCACTTTCTTGTTGTTGCGCTATCCTGAAAAGTAAAGATTAATGACAATAATTATTTAATAATTGCTATCGTTTTATAAGCGATGAGGTAACAAAGTATTTTGAGATTCTTTCGTCACTGCAATTGTTTTGCTAAAATTTGAAAGTCCTTGTCTTTTAGAAAAGCGTTGACATTCTGTGCGCGTGTATTTGATTTCTCGTTTCATTAACGACCATTTTCTCTTACTATTAAAATTCGAGTATTCAATTATGACCTATAATTATTAATAAATACATATTTTCTTTAGATATTTGTAAACAGTTTTTATTAACTTTTATAGCAGAGCTTCAAGTATTATTGACGCTACTGTCCATTATACATCCTAGATTATAGTTAACTATCTTTAACAAAATCAAAAAAAAAAACTTTTTATAACTAATAAGCACACGCTTTCGCCAAGTGTTAATGTGTGGAACTCGTCCAAATGCGTCAAAACACAGATATTTTTTATAGAAACCATTGAAGAGTTCCACAAACCACCCATACCTATTTATTTATTATTTAATCAGTTTAATTATAATAGTTTTTTGATTAATGGTTAATAAATTATAATTGTATTATCGTCCGCCCGAAGTCCGAATATTGACTAAAATTAATACAACTTTTACAAGTACGTTAAAATCAAGATTAAATTTAGATTTTATAGGGACTATGTCTATAGCAACACAAGGACAGTGGTAGTGCAGTGGTAACGCGCTCGCTTGTGAAGCCAAGTGAAACGGGTTCAAATCCCGGGTCTCGCACCTCTGATATTTTCATGTGCGAATCATTTCTAACATGATAAACACTTGCTTGTTGCACTTGCAACGGTGAAGGAAAATATTGTGAGGAAACCTGCATGTCAGAGGACCTATCAAGTTAAGTCCGCAAACCCGCACTTGGCCAGCGTGGTGGACTATGGCCTTATCCCCCTTGTAGTAAAAGGACCTGCATGGGACGCTAAAAACGCTAAAAAAGGGCTGAATACAACAATCTACATAAAATCTTTTTAAATACGCACCTCTGTTTATCTTCGATAGTCAATGATCCAGCGTCAGTATTTTTCGTAGGAATATCATTTTTCTCCTGTTTAGAGTTAAATGCGAATGGATCTATTTCCAGTTCGGAGAACATTTTATCGATGTCTGTTTGAGGAGTTGGCACCAGATTTTCTGGTTGAGTTAAAGCATGTTCCATAACCCTGAAAAAATAAAAAAAATAAGTTGTAATAGTAAGGAATAATTATCGATTTCCAAAATCGATTACAATTATTGTTAAATAGATATTGGTCAACACTTGTTACATATGTTTTTTTACGGTAAAATAGTAAAGCCTTTTTAAAAAAGCAAGCTATTGTTACTTTGATTTTTAATTAAAATTTTAAACTCAATTTTAAATAATTTAAATAGATTTCCCCGTTGGCTGTTTTCTGAACTGTTCAGTGACAGCTTCCTCACGCACTGACTACACTGACGCTCTTGAAATTGACGATTCAAAAGTGTTTTTAATAAATCTAATTCAATAAAGTTTAATTTCATTTCACAGTTAAAATAGGTGAAGATACTGCATAACATACAAACAAAGAATCGCCTCCTTATTTTCTGGAGTTAGTCAAATATAATGACATAATTACCCTTCAAAGAAAATTAGAAACAAGAATCATCCAGTACTTCAAACTTACTTTGACTCATTCTGAATGGAATTAAGTTGTTCTAATTTGGTCCGGTGTTCAGTTTCCACTTTGCAGATCATTTGCTTAACCAAAGAGATAAGTGCGTTAAATTGATTCAAAGTTAGACCATTTTCTACACACAAGGGTATGAGGAAGGGCAGTACTTTCGTCGCCATCACTTCTTTTGTTATACCAAGTTTTTTGTGGCTGAGTGTCAGTTTGTAGATACCTGGAATAATAATTAATAAATACATTATATTTATTTTATAAATAACTAGTAACTGATCATACACCCACACATCTCTCGACAAATTCTATTCAACAGACTCATAACCAGGCATCGGAACCTGTTTAAAAAAACCGGTTAATTTCGGTAATGTAATGGTTACTTCATTGATCGTTTATTAACAGGTTAATAAAAACGAACGCTTTAGTAAACCGAAATAATAATTGTAAACGGTTATTCTTAAAGAATCATTTCTAACATGATTCACTTGCCTTATGGTGAAAGAAAACATCGTGAGGAGAGAACTTAGAAAGTTTTCGAAAGACATGTGAAGTCCGTCAACCCGCACTTGGCCAGGATGAGGACTATAGCCTGATCCTCCTCGTACTAATGGGAGGCCCGTGCCCAGCAGTGCGACGTTAAAAAAAAGGCTGCATAGACATACATTCTTAAAGCAGTTATATTTAGATTTATATACCAAAACAAACTGGTTAATTTACTTATAAGTAAGAAACATAGATGTATACTTTTACTAAGCAGTTCACCATTTAGCAATGATTCGCAAAATGTAAACTTATTCACACAAAAACTTATTCTAATCGGTTAATTTTGATCATAGAATCTAATTTCGCCAAAAACCGTTACCCGGTTTAACCGGATGAAGAACATAAGTTGTAACCTAAACCTGAAACCAAAAAGCCTTTCGGTTTGGGGTTAATGACCAAATCCGGTTTACGCGACAAGATGAACACACATCAGGAGGATAGAATATGACCTAGAGTAGACTAGAACACATACATTACTATTATAACTACATCTAAATGTTTGTAATGTTAAGAAACTTACCTAAAATTCCCATTAAAACTGCTGGCTCTCTAGATGGAATTTGCGGCAAGAAAGGAATTATCTCATCCAGTACTAGCCACTTGTCTAAATGTTCCAGCAACTTGCCCAGACATAACAAACAGTTTACTCGAACAGAAATATAGTTTGTACTCAAACAAAGCTTTTTTATTCGTGGCAATAATGCATTTTTCATTGCGGGATAATCAATTAGAGATGCAAATGTTGGCAACACTGATAAACATAATTCTTGTATCTGTTGTGCATCTGACTCCAGTGCACGATATAACATTGGCAGGATGTCAGTTTTAACTTCATCTCCAGGTGTTAATTTTAATAAGAGCTCCATTTTTTGCATGAATATTAAAAGAATTTGTATAGGATCTTGAATCAGCATGACTGGTTTTAGAACAGGTAGTATATACTTCGTGTACTCTTCTTTAGTTGAGTTTTCAGCAATAAGTAAAACGTTAGGTAAAACAAAAGGGACCATTGGCGGATTTACAAACTCCTTGGTCAAACATGGTAAAATCCGATAGATAGAGATACGGTGGGGCATTTTCTGTATTATTTGTGGTAAGCCTTTATAAAATTGAGATTTTTGTAAGTTGTCCCATTGAAATAATGAGTCAAGATAGTTCAATGTCTTGACTCCAACATCTTCAAAATAGGGGATCTAAAAAAAAGAAAATTTTGTTAATAGGTAACAAACACATGTAACATAATATGTTACTTTTGAAATCGAAACAGTCACTTATCAAACAGTACAAAAATAATCAGAGATTTCCTTATAATATGATGAAATCAGTTTTCCTAATTAATCATATAGGAATTGTAATTTATAAAAGGTAAATTTCTTTGATAAATCTATACAGATAAATAAAATTGTAATGTCTGTTTGTATTGTCAAAATAACTGCTTTTTACTAAATGCATATGGAATTATATACAGTTCTTATAAGAAAAACACAATTTTTAAAATTTTTGTCTATATGTTCTAGGTATTTTCCGAAATGGCTAGACTGATTTTTATGCGACTTTCACTGGCAGAAAGTTGATTTTATGAGGAGTAACTTAGGCTACTTTTATTTTAAAAAAAGAATTAAAACATGCCCAAGGTTGCACCTGAGCGAAGCGAGGGTAAGAATTTACAAATAACTATTTTTTTTAAATAAAATATGAAACATTTAATAGTAAGTTACCTTTAAAAATTGATGTGGATCAGGTCTTAGTTCTGGAGTAGCATTTAGCATCAATTTCACATATTCCCTTAAGCCTTCATTCACACAAAGCAATCTCGAAGGGGCCAGATTTCTAATTTCATTCACAAATCTTTTAAATTTAGTATAGTCATTGCCTATATTACCTAACGTTTGGTGTCCTGTACTGTGTACAGAATAAATTAACATGCCAAGTGAATAAATATCACTGGCTGGGGAATGGGTTGCTGAAAGGACATATTCTGGAGCTAAATAATCAAGGGCAGGTTGAGTTAATGGTGGCATAGCTTGACAATATTCATTGAAAGGCCAAAATGGAGCTGCTCCTGCCATACTTTGATTGGCAATACAGAAATCAAAACCAAAAATTTTCCAAGCTCCCTGCTGATTAACTATTATAGACTCTGGGCAGATATTATGATGGAGGAGTTTGACATCATTGTGTAAGAATGCCAATCCTTCAGCTATTTGCATTAAGCCATATTTAATCTCCACTTCATATAATTTGTAATTAACTAAGCTTGTTGGTACAGGCTGGGGCATATTTTCAGTATTTCCAAGAATGTTAGCTAAGCTTGCAAATACAGGTTCAGTAGCAAATGCTAAACTTTCTCTGCTTTCTTCCAAGCTGTGTTGCACAGTCAATATTTGAGGGTGCCTCAACTTCGTTAGTTGCACAATACCTCGTTTTAAAATGTCTATCATTATATCTCTGTCTGTTTTGGACCACCTGTCCAATTGCTTTTTCTCGAAAACAAATATCGAGGCTTCTTGTTTCGTTGATTTTTTGAAACCTTTGTAAACTTTCCATAATAAACCTAAAAAGTATATAATATTAATATAAGGTTTTCTACTAAACTATACTATACTAGATACAATATTACATAGCATATAGCTTTACCAGGGCCTGCGCTTGCAATGTATTGAGTCGCTTCAAATTCTCGTGTGACTGGGTTTCCTGGTAGAACTCCAGACAATTGTGATACTGTATTACTAACGGAGGAATAAAACTTATTAAACACGTCCATTTTTGCATTCAATTTCAACGTATAGCGAAAATTAAAATCATCACAAAAAGAATAAAAAGCCAAAGCCCAAAGATTACGAATAATGACATCTAATGTCAATTGTCAATGTCAAGTAACTTTTATGTAAAAAAAGCATTTACGGTGATAAAATACTGTTAAACACAACAATATATTTTTCAACAATATATATTGTGATATTATTAGGATTTTACATAGCGCATAGTAATATATTTGTTAAACTTATTGTTAATTAAGTATATAAAATCTCATAATAACACAATTTAGTACATTGCTTTAGTTTTTAAAAGCATTCTTTATAAACCAAAAATTGTAAATGATTTGAGTTTTGACTTTGACATATACTTTGAAGGTATATTTACATTTTATTGCAATTTATTGTGAACTTTGATTCAGTGTTTATTTCTTAGAAATTAACAAATGTTAATTTCGTCATGTGATTATAAATAAATAGAAAATAAATGCATCAATTATGAAACTACTTTGGATACTTATAATTACTGTCCCTATATGTACTTCAGAAAGTGATCCATATTTTAAAGAACCATATCGTCCCTTGGGACCTTTAGTTAAGTGTAATTTTCTGCCCCTCGAATTTTTGGACTGTGACGAGCCAGTTGATCACAAAGGTAACGACACAGCTAAGAAAGCTGTTAGACACGGATGTGTTAAATTTGGTGGGGTTCGATATGAAGACGTAGAGCGGACTCAAGTTCAATGTAAAGCATTAGATGGCATCGAGTGTTACGGAAACCGAAGTTTTCTAAAAGATGGATTTCCTTGCGTTAGATATTCGGGACATTACTTTACCACTACTTTAATTTATAGCATATTACTTGGTTTTCTGGGAATGGATAGATTCTGTCTGGGTCAGACAGGTACAGCTGTTGGCAAGCTTTTGACATTAGGAGGTTTGGGTATCTGGTGGATTGTGGATGTTGTACTGTTGATAACAAACAATTTACATCCTGAAGATGGAAGTAATTGGAATCCATATGTTTAAATTACCTGTGATGACATTTTTGCACTTAATATAATTATATTTATTTAATTCAAGATAAATGTACATAATTCAAAAAATCTTTTTTGCATTTGTTATATTCTTAATTTATTTAGATATCTAAGTGTAATATATGAATAAATTGTTTTGATAAGCCTAGCTTCTTTTTTTTATCTATACATGCACTAGTAATATTATTCTGGTCAGTATTGAAGTTTGGATGATTTTGAAAGTAATTTCACTATATTTCAATACTATAATGTATTTTTTAGGTAGGTACTAAAGCTTTCGGGGTACATAATACACTATTTAACAATATCTTGCATAGATAGATTAGTCTTATAAAGTTAAGTTTTTTTTGAACAACTACTGAGTTCAAACCTATGTCTAAAACTAGTAGTCTAATTTGAAAATTTTATGACCTATTTATTGAGGAAGATTTAATGCTATTTTATATCACACTAACTGAATACTCATTTAAGCTATTTAAATTATTCATAATTTGGCAATTGGTGTCAGTTACTGCTTATATGGAGATTATTCAGTATATTGCAAAACTAATTAATAAGTATAAATTAATAATTTAAGAAACCCCGTACACAAATTAATTGTCATTTAATGATTACACTGGCACGCGTCAAGCACTCAACCGAGTAATCATACACCAAAATTCCTTACATAATTTTGGAAAAGAGCTGGTACTCTTACACTACTGGACCGCTATTAACGAAACATAGCTAAGAACCACCCAAGGAAACTGGCTTTTAAATGAAAAAAAACCACATTGAAATTGGTCCATCCATTTGAGAGCTATGATGCCACAGACAAACTTATAACACCCCAATTTTTGCATCAGGGGTTAAAAATAGAAATAATTAAGTTTAAAAACAAAGTATATTATAGTTAGATAATATCTATTAGTTATCTACTACAGTAATAGAGTAAAAGAAATATATACATCCCATTATAGTACTTTAGCATTAAGTATTTGCTATTTACAATGTCCATATTTCACAAAAAACATAATAACCATTACATTCATTATCAAATACATTGAATTAAGAGAGATTCTAAACAAATGTTAAAAAAATTCATAAACTGAACAAGATTATATGACATTTATTAAATGTTTTGGTACTAAAATATTCAATAATAAAGTTTTAAGACTATAATAGTTAGGATTGTATTTATAAAATAAAACACAATAGAAATTTACATAGTTTATTTAAACTTAAGCCACTAGAGCGGAGGCGGTGCTCGATTCATATTTCCAGTTAGGAGGGAGCACACTCTTTGTCTTATAGTATCGAGCCAGCCTGTGGATTCTGGACTCGACCAGAATTAATCTGAATTTGCTGTCTTTGTCCTTCCTATTACGTTCCAAGTGCTTCCTCATGGCAACAGCCTTCTTGATCAGGTAGTACAAGTCCTCTGGTAGATCAGGGGCAAGGCCCATAGCCTTCATGATACGCAGGATCTTTTTGCCTGTGACAAATCTCACTTGGGCCACTCCGTGAGAATCCCTGAGCATGACACCTATAATATTATTATAAATTAAATTCATAATAAGTTACTCAATTATGATAAGAGTAAATTACTGGTTCCTAGATTATTACTTTATGACCGTAGCATGTTATGGCGCCACACTAATTTGAACGTATATTATTCTTTATACAGTACATGCATATAAAAATAATAAAGATTTTAGATTTGTATCTAAGCAAATATTCAATCAAATTAGTAACTAGAAACAAGGAGATGGATCTAAGAAGGTAATAAAACTATGAATACGAATTACAAACCGATTTGGGACGGAGTGAGGCCCTTTTTGCCAAGCTTGAAAATCTGTTCCTTGACATCATCGGCAGTGAGTTTTAACCAAGTGGGAACACTGCGTCGGTATGGAAGCGCCGACTGTGAAATACCTTTACTGAAACACAAATTAACACACTATTGATACACGCCATGTGGTACACGCGAACATCGAGTTCTAGGTTAGACTGTCACTTTGTTAAAAAATCTGTTTTATAAGTAAAACTTTAAGGAGGTTTCATGAAATGTAATTTGCACAACATAAATAACATAAAATTACCCAGGTGCGTGCATACGACCCATGGTTGCGGCTTTTTACAAAAATTGCCGACCTGACAACGACAACAAGGGAAATCGAAAAGATGGTTACCGGAAGATACTATATCGTTCACTTGTCTATGTTCGTCGTTCATACATTCAATATGCTAGAGTTGCCAGTTATAAATTATATAATGTTTGTACATAATGGGAAAGAATTTTGCCTTCTTTTTCCGCCAGATGTCAAGATCTCTATAACCCTCAGTAAAGCTCTATAGCGTGTATGGTATTTTTTTTTTCATTTTATTAGAAAATTTAATTAAAATAAAAAGTTGTGCAATTTCAGGATGCAAAGAAAATGGATATCATTTGTTCCCAAACGACAAAAACTGAAGAAATTGTGGGCCAAAGCAATAAGATGACCAAAATTGACAAAATCACAATTTTTATATGTAAGGCTATGTGGACATAATTTTAAAGAAAGTGATTTTAAACTCTTAAAACGTCTACAAGTGAATATTTTTTGTATTTTGTACATATTCATTACAGAGTTACACACAAACTTTCATCCCCCATTTTACCCCCTTATGGGATTGAATTTCGAAGAATGCTAAAACATGTATTTATTTAATTGCATTGAAGAGCATTAATACCAAGTTTCAAGTATCTTGATCATATATAATTCTTTGCCCATATAAACTTTACAACCCCCTTTTACCCCTTTAAGCTTCCTTCAGCTGGTGTAACTTCCAGGTACAATACATTACACAGGTAAGATGCGAACGCAATAGGAACAAAAAACCAGATATAAAAGAGATATTACAATAAATTGCTAAACCTCAGACTGAAACTACTGAATACTGAACTGACTGAATGTAAATAGGCCATAGGTGTGGCCCCCTCCTTTCGAGAAATCTTCCCCATTTCTAGCGTCATCTGTCATTCTATTTATGTCAAAATCAAATAACAAATGACATTTTTGACAGTAAATAACCTGTAAATCAATGGTCAATGGTGTAGGGTGTACAATTTTTAAAAGCAATACGAAGCAATGGCTGATCAATATGGAATTTCAGAATCCCAATATAAACTCATACAAATGCAAGCCGCAAGGCGCGCTGAGATGAGACGTGAATTCTTAAAGCAGAGAACAAATCCTTGGAAAAATGCCTCCGAAGCTGGATATGTTGTAAGTTTAATTACGTAATTTTGTTTTTTTTTTACCGTATTGTTGTATGTTAGTTAAATGTTCAATATTTTGTTTTAGTTTGACGAAGCTCATCAAAGATTTATCTCTATGAAAGTTACCCAATTCGATCATTTTAAACCTAACAGAAGAACAACTTTGTTTGGAATGTGCGCTATTGTTCTTCCTATGTTGACTTATGGATATTTAATTAAGAACGATCGTGATGGCCGTGAAGCGAAGATCAGGAGCGGTGAACTTCGCTACAAGGATAGGCTGTTTAAACTGTGTTAAACCAATTGTACAGTGCATTAAAATTTTATTTAGAAATATAGCATTTTGTAGTTTATAATATTTAATTTTATTTATATGGTTAATGCTTTTCTCCTTGACTGTCCATTGTAAAAAATACTGGTGATAACATACTGTTTTAAAATGTGTAGAAAAATAAAATTGTAAAAGTGACTGATGTTTGTAATACTATTGTATTTCTAATATGAATCGTCCATTTTGCGCTTATCAATATCTGAAAAACAATAAACGTTAATTTCTTTTTATAATGGATGACTGTGGGTTTTCTGAAATTGAATGCAGGATCCTTTTGAATCAAATAGAAAGGTGTCTTAAATACAGGAAAGAATTCTTAAAACTAAGAATTGATCCTTTTAAACATGCTCGAGAAGCAGGCTATATTGCAAGTAAAATTGGTAAAAATATATTTAATATCATAAATTTCACTTTATTCAAAACAATTGTTATATGTTCCATTTTTTAATTACTATATATACACATATAGATATCATTAAAAGCTTATCAATATGAATTCTTTAAAGCAACACCAAAAAGAGCTTTAAGCAGAATTGCAATGGTCCTCCCAATGCTAGTTTATGGTTATTTAATTCATGAACAAAGAATCCAGTTTTTAGGTGATTGCAGATGTGGACGGTAGAAATATAAAGATTTATTTTATTAGGGAAGTCAAATATTGTTAAAGAATATTAGGGACAAAATGCCTTGCTGATTTAAGAAGCTTGAGGGTGGAGATTTACAGCAGGAAACATTTTATTCATATCTTAGCATTATTTTTATCAGTTAAATAAAAAAATAGTAATTGTACACCCTCCATTTTATATCAAGTTTGTGCACTTACAAAGAACAGAAACACTAAAAGCAAGTATAGTAGTGTCTTATTCAGAGTTTTTAATATTTAATGCAATATTATTATTTTCTCACAGTATTTATTACAATATCATGATACGCTTTTAATGGATAAAATTAGTTTCTAAATAAAGATAGAAAGGTTCATAAAATGTTCTTATACATAATTAGTGAATTATGTTTGCTTCGCTCTAGTGCAGCCCTAGGTAAGTTCTTGATCACAATTTCATGGGTTTTAATTTTTTGTGTGGAATGTTGATTCTTTTTTAAAAGAAGCCTTAGTTACTCCTAATAATATCAGCTATCTGCCAGTGATAGTCCTGTCAAAATTGGTCTGGCAGTTTCAGAGATTAGCCGGAACAAACAGACAGACAAGTTTTTTTTTTATGTGTTTTTAATCCATAATCAGTCAGTAACTTTAAGCGGATATGTTCTATGTTTTGGTACAGAGAATGCACTCCATGGAGAACACTACTCGTATTATTTCGATGTAAGTTACATTCTTTGTGGTAGGTTTAGTATATCATGTCGTTGAAAGCGGTTAGAATAGTTTTTCGCCTGGAGATGGACTGCCAATTCGTTTGGATGCTGGATCAGTCATTGTTGGTAGCGTTTGGAAAAGAATCTTATTTCTTCTTTCACAGTGTTAATTACTGTATTATAATGTATTTTACTGTTAGTCACAAACCAAGGTATGTCGGTTATAGTGCATAAGATCATGTTCTACATTCTTTCGATGATACTTATATTACAGTCACTGGCGCTTCCCCATAACTGTGCACCGTACATTCAAATAGGTTTAAGTACTATTCTGTAGATCAGAAGCTTATTGTGTACCTTCAGCTTGCTATTACGGCCCAGTAGCCAAAGCGTGGATTTATACCTAATTTAAAGTTCTTCTCTTTTTGTTTTCATTATTTTTCCATGGTAGGCGCCTATCTAGGTGCATGCCGAGGTATTTCACTTGTTCACTGTGGGGTAATGGGTTTTCACCCAGGTATACCGCTGGACAGTAGTCACCTTTTCTCAATGCGAACGTAACATGCACCGATTTGGTGGCACTAGCCTTAATATAGCAATAAGTGCAAAGCCAAATAGTTCAAATAACTTAAGAGTATATATTGACAAATACTAAATAATATCCTATATTTTATTTAATAAGCCAAACATTAATAATATGAAACTTATTATCGATCATCTAAACATTTATCTCTAGTTATAACAAAATCTTCAAACTTGACCATGTATGTGGTGCCTTTGTGCCAATGCGCTGTTACTTTTGCTGGCTGCAAACAAAATTTAAACATACATTTTTATGTAGATATTATTTTGATATTAACTTAATCTCCCAAGTTACGGTTTTTTAATGATTAAATCATATAATATTGGCGACACCCTTGCTTCACTTGAGTTTGTTCATAGTGACAAACAAAAAAAAACAAATCTATCCCTCGGGAACCATACATTTTTCTGAGACAATAAGTAACTTATGTGCTACTTTAGACTATAATCTATTTCTGTGCGAAATTTTATCCAGATCCCTTCAGCCGTTTTGGTGTGATTGAGTAAGAAACATCTATCCAAACTTTCACATATATAATATTAATTTGATATAATCTCACAATAATTGCCTTTTACAACAATTAGTAAATTAAAAAACTTACAAATCCTCCATTAGTTAGTACAGCTTCTATAATTCCAGCATTAAATGAAGCACAATTAAGGGAGCCTTTATCTTTAGGTACACTTATGAATTTATTAACCTGAAAACAAATGTATCTATAAATCTCTTGATAAAATTCCACATTTAATTATTTAAAAAGAAAATAATAATCATCCAACAAGTATAATAATGAAAACTGCATTTGCAGCTTTATTTTTATATATACACATTGATATAAAATACTCGTGCTAGAAGTTAAAAGTAATAAGAATAATAAAAAATTAAAATTATACTTACTAAAGCATCTTTCTCAATTATATAATAAGTTCTCTCATCATCATTTGCATGTTCTAATTTGTCTGCCTCTTTTCCAAATAATACCTAAAAAAGAGATAAGACTTACTAATAAAATAAGTAATGAATTTCCTAAAAATATTCATATAAAAATATTACCTTCCAGAGAGTAGATTTCACAAATAGCAGCATGTTGAGAAGTTTAATTTCCCTCTTGCTGTTTCGTTCCCTTACGAAATATAAATCAAGCAGTCTAGTTCCAACATCATGGCCCATTTCTGATAATCTAATGAAAATGTTTTAATTTTTAAATAAAGTAAAATTTGGTAGTTAAATGTTGTATATTGTTATATTACAGACTATTTACATAGCTTACTTTGTCTGCAGTTCATGAATAGAATGTGATCTATTTTGGCAATATTGAACAATTTCTGAAAACAAAAGGGCGTATAGCGCTAGCGAAACTTCCCCTTTTCCTTTGCTTAGGGGTTTGTCTAGAATAGAGGATTTTGATCTACTGGACGACATTATTATTTAAAATAATTTAAATAGCAATATCTATATCCAATAGGTACCTATGTTTAATTTTAAAGATTAATTTAAAAGCCTGAATACGCAAACATGAAACAAAAAACTGATTGAAAATGACTTTTGACAGTTGACTTTGATTGACAACCAGTGCTGCCAACACTCTTTAAAAAAAATTATATATTTGTAAAATATGATGAGTAAATAAATGTTAGCGAATATTAAATTCGAACAAAATAAAAGAGAAAAGTTGAAGAAGAAACACTGAATTAATATTATGCTGTCGGAGACAAATGTACATATTTTATACTTGCTGCGAATCTCGCTACGTGTATTGTTCCATACATATATCTGTTTTATAGTATTTTAACCTTTAAAACATTAATTAATAAATACTTAACTTACCGAAAATTCGATAAATTATCGAAACAAGCTATGAAATTTTTACGCTTTGGCTGTTGAGACCACCGAAGTTAAATCTTTAAATTCAGATCGTTAGTGACTTAGCGACAAAAAACGTTAAAATCTCAATCGTTAACTATGTAAGAAAAAGGCACGTGGTAGATAGCCCATGACATTTTAAGACCAAGTCAGGGCAGTAGTATACGTCTCATGTTTATATATGTAGCAATATACTCTATGGTCTCATGGCAGCAGCCAGCAATGTGCCAGAAAAGCAACAGGCGTGTTATCAAGTGGGGTACAGCATCAAAATGATGACCACGACCAATCTATTAAGACTGAAACGACTAAGGCGTTATTGAAGATTTTTATTTCTCTATACCTAGATAATTGAGAAAATGTTCGTCTTGTTTCGTTCGTTTTTTAGAACGGTTGGGCCGACTTGGCTAATTCTTATTTCAGAACTAGCGGCTCACCCTCGCTTCGCTCGGGTTCGCTTCTAAAAAACACTAATACAGATCTATTAGTTCCCACGGGAACCATCCATTCTTCCGAGATGAAAAGTAACCTGTTGTTTGACCGGTAATATAAGGTATCAGAATGTTAAAGTTTACTAAATTAGGTGCATAAGTTGTTGTGTACTAAGCTGTATAAGATACTATAGTTTTTTAACTATCCCAGGGGAACTCTTTAATTTTCTGGGATGAAAAGTATCTAAGATGTTGCCCGGGGATATATCCCCTTATAAGGTACCACCATGCAAATTTTCATTTAAATCGGTCCAATAGATTCGGAGATTAGCCCGTACAAACAGACAGAGAAACAATAAAATTGAAAAAAATCTGGATTTGTTCTATTTGTCTTCTTACATCCCCCTGACTCGGTTTTTAGCATTTTTTTGCTATGTACAGACATTCGACCTCTACTCTTTTATTATAGTATAGATCTTTATTATAGATACAATATAGTTTATATGAAACGAAAGAACATAAAATGTTTTGCATACACTCAAAGATCATAGATTTATTGAAATTAGAACAAGGTCAACACTCAACGACTATCGAGTCAAAGTTTAAATAAAACTAATAATAATTAACAAAACCTTTACTCTCGTATATAAAAGCGTATAATAACAGCGCTATGACAAGATATTTGCGTTTAATAAAACTGTGACATATAAATATTTGTGTTTACAATAATTATTATAGTACAATCGTCAATTAATTTAAATATATCCACTTAAGTATGACAGTTATTAATATTTATGTGATTTTATTGTATTTATATAATCATTGCGTATTTTTTTATATTTCATGTCTGTAAAAATAAATTTAAATAATAATAATTAACTGGACCTTACAAAAAGACGAATAGGTACATATATCTGGCAATATTTACCTATTCGAAAGTGAAAGAAAGCAATTGTTAATTATTTATACATTTACCATATTTAAAAATACTATAAAATTATTATCTTTTAGGGTTAGTATTTTACGATTAACACAAAGAGAAACATTTCGTTACAGTTAACGAAAAAAAAAAACAAAAGCACATAAATATTAATAAATCCTTATTTTAAAGAATGTAATTACCTTATATGACGAAGGAAACACAATTTACAATTTTCCTTCGTTTTGCAAAATATTTCCTATTCAATAAATCCATTCATTAAAAATACATTTCTTTTTGCCAATAATTACGGACGGCAATTGTTCTTGAAACCATCACATCTAACACAGTTCGCTGATTTTCGATTCTATTGATCATATAGATATTAGGGGCTATAAGGTTGGGAAATTGTCCGGTAATAATAGTAAGATTACATAAGCTGCTAAGCAGAGATAATCGTAATCCAAATATCGAAAAAGTGAGAGTCAATTCAATTTTCTGATAATGGCTTCAAAGCGTACCAGTAGAGCACAGATTACTTCGACAATGTCAGATAAACGGGGGATGTTGGAAGAGAGAGAGAAGATAATAAAAAATAACGTAAATTTGTACTTTAAGGGTTAACTAAAACTTTCTTTTAATGCCCCAAAATTAATTTATTTATAAATCAGGTTCAAATAATCGTAGTTAGTGGTAGATCAGTTTCTTTGTCAGTTTTAGTAATATAAAAATAGATCATTTAAAATCCTTTTCAATTGGTTCCAATTTCTAAGTTTTCCAGTAATTTATGGCAAAAAAGAAAACAATATTGCATTAATAGGGAAATCAAAACAAATATAATGAGCACATACAGATTGTATGTATGAATTTTTACATCTAGGCCCTGCATGTATGCTGCAGTAATTAAATATGTAACAATAAATTGTTAGTCTTAAATAAAAAGTTATATAATTATATATTTTTTATTCTGTAAAATATGTAGACACATAGCATATCATATCTCCAGAAACACATACATATTATTGTTGTAGATTTTAGTCTATAGTGTAATCTGTTAATATTATATAATGTAAGTATATAATATATACATTATATAATACCAACGGATATATATATATATATAATGTTTTACAATGCAATCCATTAAATAAAATACTTAAAATATGTGTCTTCATAATTTACAAAAGTATACCCAAAACACTCCAATTAAAGTTACCATTACAGTTCTTACAAAAACTATCAATATTATGCAGGTACAAAAACTTAACTACAGGTGTAGTTTGTAAGTGTTATTATTTTCACTAAATTAGTAAAATAACACTAAAATATTTGAAAAACACCAGAAAGAATTCAACTCTTTGGTTTTAAATGTATCTACTGAAGAAATGTGATGTTAATTAAAAATGAAAAGATTTTAATATTTCAATTTATTTAATATTTCAATTTAAAAGTACCCTAATTATAATAATAGCTATGCCTTGCTATTATAATAAAAAAAACAATCCCTAATTTTAGTATAATGAAAAATATATTTTAGCTGCACAAAAAACTTAACTGAAAAGCATGTTCATTTGTTTCTATCCTTTTTTATTTTGTAATTTCTAATCTGTAAGAAGATTTCTCAAAAAAAGTATCATGAATGATATTAATCTTAAAATTTAATGAATTATTATTAGGCTACTTTTATATTGTTTTAATATTTTATTTGTGTTTATCAACACTATGCCATAATACATAGTCTATTGGCACTAATAATTCTGCATAGTATCAAGTAGATTGTGTTATATTTGAAGTAGTGTATAAGTTACTGTAAAAGCGCATATATAGGTAAATCTTAGGTATAACTACCATTTACCAACATGAGTTGGTAAATATAAGGATTTTATAAAAAAGAGACGTCCTTTCAGCTTGGTACATGCTAGATTTTACCAACAATGGTTGTTAAATAGGTATTTGTTCTCGTCAAGATAAAGGCCCAACTTTGGATAACATAGGTTGACAACGAGAATGCCTTCTGGTTAGGCCTTTTTTATTTCAAACCCAGAACCGCCAATATCATAAGTGCATTGCCAAGAATCGTTGGTAACATACATACTGTACCAAATTCTGATTGTAAAAGCCCGAAACATTGTCTACTTTTTATAAAATAATACCAACTTGTATTTGCAAATCCTAAGATTTACTAGGTAAAGTTAAGATTTACCAATATATGGGCTTTTACAGTAACATATATAAGTATAAAACATTATTTATTAAAAGGACAGATCTAGAACAGTGAATGTGATTTTGGATGTCCAGCATTGTGCTAACGGTATCTACATTTTCAATAAACTTACACTTATAATGTTATATTATAAATCTAGTGTGAGTCAATATTTACATCTCGGCTTTCTAACATACTGGTATATGGTGTCAGTCATTAAATGTACACAAGTAGTGAAAAAAAAACATGTGTCATGCTACATAATTTACGCCATATGTATCACTTGCTTATAAGTAAACAAATCCTTTCTGGGAAAACCAGAAACCAGAAGTTTCTGTATAATAATTCTTTTTTAAATATGTCATATACATCAAATTATATTGTTAAGATTAAAAGAAAAAATGTTACATTATAATCACTTTTTAGTCATAATTTTTCTTGTATGTTAACATACATATTTTTTTGTTACAAGCAATTTAGTCTGTAGAATAAATATTTCAGAAAATTCTTCCTTTCAGATTAAAATGAAGAAAACATTCAACTACATTCACCATATATCAGTAACAGCTTTTCATTTAACAACAAGTAGACTGTACAGTCTCCGCCTCAAGTAGATTGAAGTCCATACCATTGGGTCTGTTGAAGCCAGTCTTGATGCCGTCCCATCCATCTTCAACTTTGTATTCCCCAGTCTGTATGCGATTGTACACTTCTTGAGCAACAAGGATGAAAGCTCTTTCCACATTGAGTCCTGTTTTTGCCGATGTTTCCACATGATGTAGACCTGAAAATTAATTTAGCTAATATATGTAACTAGTAATATAGGCAAAGTTTAATGTTTACTATGCATCAATCAAACAACTACTAGATACTCAATCAGCTACGAAAAATGTCCACACCGAATGAGCGCTCATTTGAACATTTGAGTACACTTTTAATTTTTTTCTTTGCAAAAACAACTTTAAACTTTGTGAAAGCATAGCATTTAAGGTTCAATTTACATTGTTGTATATTTATTTCAACTAGAATAATTACCTAAACATAATTGGTGACAGTTTTAAGAGAACCTTTGCATGGGATTGTGTATCAAGTACATTTTTGATCTATGCTTCTATAAAACATAACATAATTCACTTTTATGATATGATTATGAAAATTTGAGTATTTTAAATAGGAATAGATGTATCTAGAAATTAACAATAGCAGGTGCTAAATTTCCCTTTTAACAATAACAATATAAACCTGTTGGACAACATACTTACACAATTTGTGACCAAGTTTGTGTTCATAGTTCAAGGACTTAATACAACAAAACTCAACAGTATTTACTTTAGATGAGTGCTGAGTTTTCAAATGTAATACTTTACAAATTGTGTTCATATGAAGGAACAATGAATAGTCAAGAATTTTTATTGCAAAAATGATACAAAAACATGCATGCTTAAGTCCAATGACACTAATATAATATGTACATTTTTTGTTACTTAAATTATAGGATAATTTTGCTCTTTATATTAAGTGTAATCTAATAAATAATAGTAATGCTTCATTTGGTATTCAAAATGTCTAATTAGGTCAGCACTAAGATAATGAGACATGTACAATGACACAGTCATATTATTTGCATGTATTTTTAGTATCATCCAAATAAAACTAAGCTAATTATTACTTCTATTTACCGTTTTCCTCAGCAAACATCCTAGCTTCTTCACAAGAAACTTCTCTTCGTGCTCCATTTTTATTATCAGGGCCAACAAGATCCACTTTACAACCAACCAAAGCAAAAACAGGCCTATGAGGTTCTATATGTCTTTTAGCTTCCATCATCCAAAGAGGTATATGTTCGAAACTTGATCGATTGCATACATCGTATACCAAAAGTGCTCCAACCGAATTTCTGTAGTAAGATTTTGTAATAGATCTAAATCTTTCTTGTCCAGCTGTGTCCCAAAGTTGCAATTTAATTCTTGTGCCATCTTGTACTTCTATTATTCTTGCGAAAAAATCGACACCCACCGTAGGATCGGACAGCTAAAAATTAGGCGTAATTAGTACCTCTAAATTTACAAAAATGTTATACAACAACAAAAACAAAGATATTACCTCAGCAAATTTTCCATCTGTAAAGTATTTCAGCAATGAACTCTTGCCTACTGTGCTATCACCGATCAGAATGAGCCTAAATTGATAGTCAAATATTGGGTCAACCATTTTCTTAACATAAAACTCAGAACAACAAAGGTCTCGTCAAATTATTTGCGTATTGAGATTTGAGATGATTTTGTGAATGATGACTTTTGACAGCAATTGCGACAATCTTAATTTTTAAAATTCACAGATGATAGATTAGAGTAGACATAGATTCAAGTAGAGTGGCTGTTTTTTTCTTTTTTATCTTTTCCATTTGTTATCTAGGCACGCGGTAAATGTCAAATACCAATAATTGTCAAAACTGTTGAATGCAGCGCGTCAATTCTTATTTTCCAAAAAACAAATTTCTATCGTTTAGTTTTCGCAATATAGTGTTCATAGATTATTTTTAATTATTTATACAATACACTTATCTGCTATTTCCATAAAAAGCTTTTTATTTTTATTATACGTATAACCTGATAAAAGAGGCCGACACTGGCGCCCTAGTAAGTGAAGCTTAGCGTGTTATTACTGTTATTCGTAAATTTATCCCGTGAATTTTAAATTGACCATCATTACTAAGTGCCATTTTGTGTTCATACGTTAAGGTTTTGTCAACAAAGTGTTTATTTATAGTGATTGGGGAAAGTAAGTAACCCGCCAATTTATGTCATCAATAAATTGTCTCCATAAATATGAGTTTTAGTCAAAGCCTTGTTAAATCAAAAGAAAATGAAGAAAGTCGAGCCAAATCCACACCAATTGGTATGTTTACAGTTGTTGAATTGATTTATTATAATATAAGATGAAATGTGAAAGTGTAATATTTACATTATATTTTTATTTCTGTTTAGCCATGGTGGCACCTGAACTTAAACAAAATACTGATGCTGATACAGAGATAACAAAGACTTGTGCAGTATTAGGATGTGAGGAATCCAAGAACTTAGGTTCTGAATTATATTTTAGGTAGATTCCATAAACATTATTAATATAATATTAAAAATATTAACATTACAAGTTTTGTACAATTTATTACTATTTATTTTTGGTTATATTTAAAATATATCAATATATTTTTTATATAATAGTTATAAATAATAAATATTTAATAAAGCTTAAGTAAGCTTAAGTTATAAAGTAATCTAATTATATTTCAGGTTCCCTGATGATGATCATTTACGGCAAATATGGGCAGATCTAACAGGCAGGAACAACTGGACACCAACAGATTACTCCTACATCTGTATCGAACATTTTTCCGTAGATTGTTTTGAATGTAATGCTGATAATTCTGTTGTCTTAAATAGTAAAGCTGTACCTTCACTGAAGTTACCTAAACATGTTTTAGAAGTAAGTGTTCAATATTTTGTTAGACTTATAGTCTTAAAAAAATATTATTTTGTGTGTTAAGAAAATGGGTAGACAGATAATTTAAATATCCAAAATGAAACTCTTTTTATTCTGGATTGCAATTCATTAAGTAAATTAGAAATTATAATATGATTAAATTATATTATCATTTTATTTTATATTTTATATTCTATAATAAATAGATGTTTCACATGCAGGTGTTTTTAAACATCATAGTATAAGTGGGGCACTAGCATTAGTATGTCAACTACTGCATGAGTCACCTCAAGTTGAGAAAAGACGGCATAGATATTAATTATAATTTATAATGTAAAACTAAATAAATTGGGGATATATTTAAATAAGGTGTGGGTTTTATACCAAAAAGCTATATTATCTAAAGAGTTATTGTATCTATACATATAATAAAATTCTACTTAAGTTGAATCTGTACATAAAATTTTTTTTTGTAAAATCTAATTGAAATAGTCATTATTATTGATACAGAGGCAGAATCAATAGTTTTTAGATTTTTTTCTGTCTGTCTTCCCAGATAGGGAACACACCAGGAGAAAATCACGACAGATTTTGATGAAATTTGATATGATGATAGCTGGTTATCCAGGTCAACATATAGGATACTTTTTACTGCAGAAAAATACCTCATCTCTGAGAAATCTATACTAAATGTTAAAACGTAACTTCAACTTTGCTCATAAGATCAGATTAATCTTAAAATATTTGCAATTAGGCTATTGTAATATATATATAATTAAATATTTGTTCTAGGTGGAATATATAGATGAAGAAAGTCTTGAAAATGAATATGAAGATGAGGATTACTTAATGGACAGTGATGAACTTGAACAGGAAGAACTGTCTCAAACCAAAGCTTTAACAAATGGTACAAGCTCAGAAAAACAGACCACAAAAACTAAAGAACTAACAGAAGAAGAAAATATTGAAATACTTAAACTATTCACAGAAGTTCAAAAAATGCAAAAACATGCTGTGTCATTGAAAGAAAAGTTAAAATCAAGAATGAAAGTTTATAAACGTCAAAATAGATTTTTAATGCGCCTAAAAGAAGTTATAGAGATGAAGCGAAATATATTAAATCAGAAAAGAAAGAAAAAATCAAGAATTTTACTATCTCTGCAGGACAAAATGAGGGAAGATACCAATGGTCTTGTATTAGCAATGCCTACAAGACATACGGACGACTTGAAAAACTTTGCACTTAGTGTATATAAATATTCACCTCAAGCGTACATTTATATTAGGAATACATTAAGGACTTTGTTGCCGAGTACTGATGTTTTAGAATCATGGATCTCGGGAGGTTATGAGCCTAAGAATATATTGTCTAATAGTAATTTGATTAAAGTTGTTTCTGAATTGACTGATACAGAGTTATCATGTAAAGTGTCGTTACGCTAGTGTTAAGTTTTATCATATATTTTGTGAATAATTAAATATGATGTATTTTCGAAATTTTTTATATGGTTTCATTTATAGGCTATAATTTTAGTTTCAGAATATACTTTACCATAATATGAATTAAATATTAGTATTTTTAGAGTACTTATTTATTACTTATAATACTTTTTAAATTATGATATTGTGGATTTTAAAGTCAAACAATGGTAGCCCATAATGGTGGGACAAAACATGCTTTAAAATTGCCTTTAATTTATTATAGCTTTTTACAGCAGCTTACTCGTAAACCGAAGAAAGAATTAGAGATATAATCTCCTCTTAAAAAACTATAAAGATTATGGAAACACTATTTGACTAATTGTTTTAAATTAGTATTGTATATGTATGTATAATTTACTTTTAAGTTTTAAATTAGGTATATAAATATTGAAATAATAACGTAAATCTAGTTTTTTTGTTTTTATCTTGCTTAAATTGCGATCATATTTTTTTTTACTTTTTCGTGTAATCTTTTTTTAGTTGCTTAAATTATAAAAAATATGACATTTGATTGGCAATAGAGCCATCTTGTTCAATAAAGTATGAACTATATAGCATTGTGTTCTGATTTGCAAGCTATCTAGTTTTTCTACTCACCAGTAGATGGCGTTGTAGCATGTGCTAGAAAGAGACAGGTATATAAAAATCCAAAACGAATGTACCAAACAAACGATTCTAACTCAGTACCGTGATTCTTTCCTTACGGGTTGGTCTATGATGGAGAAATCAAAATAAAATCGCGCGTGAACGAAAATAAAATAGTAACCATCTGTTCAAATATTGTGCAAGTTACATTATTTTATGCGAGAAAAATGTAAAATGGTCACGTTTTTTTGCCGTATCGTTTGACGTTCGCGTTGTTTTTAGTTTTGTGTGTAGTGTTTTGTTTTTACCGTGTAACGTGAATGGATTTATTGTAACTCAATTATAAAGCCGCTTTATAAAAGGTACGTAACAGTTTTAAAGGCTTTAGTTCGGTTAGCGAGAGCCAATCGCTCCTTCACTAACTGGACTTTCGCAATCGCTATTCCTTTGGCGTAGCATTCCATAAAAGTAAACCAGGCACAACCATGGAACTTGAATTCGTGTATAATATTCGTTTCATTTTGCCACCATAATTATAATTAAACATATTGTCGATCAAAATTCGTATCATGTCACATCATTTCTCTTTTTACTATTATGGTTTAGAAATAATTTCAACCCAATTTGCAATTGAAAGTTATTATTGGTTTCTTTTGTTAATTGTTTATGTCAACGGACGATTTATAATTTTTATGACCCATAAAAACTTATTATCATAATAAATATTAATGTTAAAATGTCAGGACAAATGGTATGGAAAAGTTTATTCCAATTTGGTTCAAACAAATTGTAGGATATTCTTCAATAAATATTTTCTTCGTATGTAAAAAAAATATTTTTTTTAAAGTTATGGGTTATCGCATTGTGATTTCACACTTATAAATGCGCAGCAAAAGGTAAATTGGATCTATCGGCTATAAATTACTATTTGTTGGTTTAGATTATATCCGCAGTAAAGCCCACTACTATACCATTATAAGTACATGGGCAATTTATAATGTATGGCCGATGGCGGTGTAAAATTTTAATCAGTATAAGAAATTCTAAGAGCAGGATGAAAGCTATGCCACGGCGACCCGTAAACTATCTATACAGTATTTTTTTTAAAAGTAGTCTTTAGGCTTAGGTGAATTATTCTCTTGATTTTTTTATGCGATTACCATTTTATAAATGTATTCATCAAAAAAATAATCTAAAAATACAATTTATATTAAGGTACCGCGTAAAATACACAAAAATTTGAAAAGGAAATAAAACGCCCGAAATATGGCGTATATTCTATACCTCCTTTTTAAAAGAGGAAGTCGATTAAGTCGATTTGTTGCCATGTTCCTCAAGGAAATAAGAATTTATTAAAAAAATAATTATGCTTGTATAATGAATGCCCTTGCCTGCTACACTTTACTCTGTACACATTTCATCCCACGCTTGTTAAAGATTTGCCTGCGGCTCCACCCGCGTTTTATTTATGTGTAATCTCCGCTCCTAAAGGTCCTAGCTGTTTATAATTTATATATACCCTCGGTCCGCTTCGCGTTCGTTCCTAGACAAAAACAAATATATCCCACGGGAATCGTACATTTTTTGAGATAAAAAGTAACCTCACATAGGTAGGTATTCAAAACTATAATCTATCTCTGTACCAAATTTTATCCATCCGATCAGACTTTCTGACGAGAATGAGTAACAAACATCCATCCACTCATTCTCACAAACTTTCTCATATATAATATTAAGTATGCATTATAGATAGGGTGTAAATTATAATCCTTTTTTTGAATACCTTCCTCCATAAAAAACCTTATAAAAGAAGAAAGACTTTTAAATAGGTCTGGGAGTTCCAGAGACTAACGTGTTTAATCAAACAAACAAATTCTTCAGCTTTATATTATTATAGGCAATTGTAGCCCAGTGGTAACGCACTCGCTTGGGAAACCGAGTGAAGTGAGTTTAAATCCCGGGTCTCTCACCTCTGGTATTTTCATGTCCGAATCAACCCATCAACCCTGCACTTGGCCAGCGTGGTGGACTATGATTTCCTGACTGCCCTCGTACTGAAGGGAGGCCCATACTCAGCAGTGGGAGGTTAAAAAGGGGCTGAATAAATACATACACATTATATTAATCGCATTAGTATACAATAGAATAGATTTATATTATATATTTACTAGTGCTTGGTACAATTTTATTGTACACATCAATTATCTCATTTAAATTATGCAAGAAATATAGGAAAATTATTTGATCATTTAACAAGGTTAATGAAATATTACATTTATTTTATTTATTTTCATAAACATTATACGCAACTAAATAGAGATTATCGGTCTAGATCTGCGATTTGTCGATAAGCAATCTGGTCATCGCTAAATTTAAAATTTAAATTAGTTTTTAAGATATGGTGACTAGTTCGTATGGTGGGTGGTATGGCAGTGACTCATTGGGTCAACACCTCACCTCTAGCCTTTGCTCTCAAGATTAATTTACTTGTATCTGAACTCGGAAATACAATATAGCAATGATTCTATGGTTTTAGATTGAAGCAGAATTAGATATAACTGAAGTCATATTCAAGCCTGAGTTTTATGATCCTGTATCAAATTATCTGGAATTCCATTATCTTAGTATGCCTTAAATATTGTATTTGGATGGATGTTTGTTACTCAATCACACTAGAACAGCTGACCGGACTTGGATGAAATTTGGCACAGAGTTAGATTATAATCTGGAATAGCGCATAGCACATATATAGTTTTTATGCCGAAAAAGTGTATGGTTCCCGTGGGATAGATTGGTTTTTAACTAGGGATGAACCCAAGCGATACGAGGATGAGTCCTGAATAAGATCTAGCATCAAAAGAAGATAAAATGATTGTTGATAATTAAAAAAGTAAAATTTATATTCTTATTGGTCTGGGCTACGAAACTATTGTAACTAACAGTATATTTTACAAAAATAAACGAAGTAATGCCTATAATGCGCAATTTGAGATAAGGTAATTGATTTTCTTTACAGAATAACTGTTCGTCACAGCGAGTGGTTTAGGATAAATATTGACGACGTAGTTACACCAAATGTGACAAACACTAACAGTCAAATCAATCTGACGTAAAATTATAAACTTATTATTCTTATTTTTAACAGGCCCGTGCCCATTTTTGGGGACGGGACTCCTTCCAATGCGAGGGGGATCAAACTATAGTCCACCACGCTACCTACTGCAGGTTACCGGATTTTACGTCTTTTAAAAACTAGTTAATTTCTTTTGGACATGCAGCGAACTTACCCTTTGCTACCACTTGCACTGTTTAAATATTAATAAGTACTTATCTAGATATTTAATTTAATAATACCCTATAATATTAAATTTAATATAGATCGTACGTAAGTTCATGGAATTTTTAAGTTTCAGAGAACCTGTTTGAGTGTTGATCACTTTTATACGGCAGTTGTGATATATTTCTCCGCTCGTGGCTAATTTCCGTAAACAAAACTAAGTAGTTACATTGCAAAAGCTGCCGAAAATAGCGAATAGCACGCGAACTAACAGGATACTTAGTAGACGTTAATCTTTTACATGTTGTGAAGTAGGTTTAAGGTGCGGAATATGCTACCAGATATATGTTCACGTAATCGCCAAGTAATGGTGGTATCTGAATCACTTTATTAAAACGATAAAATAATATACAAATTCGTAATCGATTAAATTTGTTGATACACTCGATTAAAAAACTTGCTTGCTTTATTTAATTACTTTCTTTATCTGTGTTTTATAAATAGAAGAGTCGACCTAGTGCGAGTTTTTTAGAGTATGTTTTTCTATTATTTGCTATCCGGTATGGTTAGCAATCCGGAAGCTGTCATTATATATTCTGCTAAACTGTCTATTGTTTTGTAGTTTAATATATTTTTAGGCGTCGGGACGTGACGACCCCACCGCCCGCTGGTGGGATAATCTAGTGACAGAGATTATTCCACCAGTGCAATCAGTCAACCAAAACTGTGGTAGTGCCATGCTAGTTACCTTCGGGTAGCAGCCGAATGGGCCGGCACGTCCCGTAAAGTACCACTCTCTCACAGAAGTCCGGCGTAAAGTGGCAGCTATGCTGTCGCGTTTCGTTTGGTAAGTGAGAGTCCCGGGAGGCCCACTCCCCGCCCCTCCCCCACACCACTAAATACATGATAGTGCGAAATTCGGTTAGACTACCCCAGGAGGGTACCACCAGCGCACATCGCGGTGGAGAATCCCTCTCTGGGCATCCCTGTTCAGCTCATACACTACCTGAGCGTGGGTGCCCAGGCTGCCCTCCGAATTCTGGGGAGGGCAATTTTGCGCTCTCGGCTTCTGTTCGGGGCAAGCGGAGCAGGCCAC